ACAATCCTGAGACATCAAAACCTAGTCATCAACATGTTCATCCTTTACGTGGATGGCAACAGGTTTAGAGAGATCAGGACTTGCCGACCATTAGGGACTGCTACTTTTCTCTCAAAATTCTGTGCTCCCAAGACACAATCGACAAAAAGTCAATGAAAACAAGAGAAAACCAAACAGATTCTAGCACAAGGTAAATCATTCTTAAAGGAGAAAAAAAATCATTCTTAAATGCACATCTTAGAAAGTCATACATTTATGGCTTTTTTTCCATTAACAATGTTTACCAAATGCTACAAGTATCAGGGGTTTTACAGAGCAGATACCATCCATCTGATCAGCAACTGGGGGCCCAAAAGGAAAGGGCCTCACAGTCCCTGTTTTGAACTTGCTAATTTATTAAAAATCAGGTGTTGCATTTTTTTGTGAGCACTTCAAAATACTATTCTGGACAACTAAAAAAAAAAAAAAAGGAAATAAAACATCCTAATGCAGATAGAAATGTATAAACTATATTTGGTTTTCTGTAAGATTAAAAGGACTGCTATTCAAATCACTGAGAAAACTTACAGTATCAACTCCAGAAGGATAATCAAAATATTGAATAATATATTAAAATACCAAGTACCTATAAAATAAATATTAGGTTCCCAGGGCCACAAAGAATGATCTATTTATTATTTAATTTCATTTTTCCAGTTTACAAATACCCTACTTTCAAAATAATTAAAGTATCTATGGTGGTCTTTGAGTTTGGTAAAATTATTGAAACATTTCAGTGTTTGCATCAGTAATTAAATCCCCAATTATCTCAAAGAACTTCAGTAGGATAGATCCCAGATTTACGGTTGGTTTTGACCAAATATGATGTGCTATCAAAGGTCTCAGGTATTAGCTGTTTGGGGGAGAGCTATTTAGTTTGAAAATGATTGTGCAGATCGCATTTGTTTATTTCCAAGTGTATTTACCTCATTTGGTCCCTAGAGACCTACACAGTCAGATCTCTCCTCATGGCAAACACAGATGTCCTCGGCATCCTGAACTGATTTCAACTATGTCTTCCTCACTGAGCACTTAAAAACTATCTTCTCGGAGCCCCAGACGCTCTGCCGGACCCGGCTTGGCCAGAGGGGCCTGCACGGCGGCCTGCCCCGCGACCCCGCCGGCCGCTCCTCCCCACCCAGGGCGCGTCCCAGCGAGTGCTACCACCGGACTCCCAGACACCGAGGCCCGGCGTGCCTGCCAGCCTGGATCTCCCCCTCTTCCCAGCCCTCACGCTGCCACGAGAGCCTGCTGACTTCCTTTCCTGAATATTTTCACTATGCGTTTTCTCACAAACCTCTTCTCACTGAGTTTATCGGGGTCGTCCTCATGGCTCCAACACCCCCCCCACAGCTTCTAAGGTCGCCTCTCTTCTGGCACGTTCTGCCCAGTCACCCACCACATTGCTAAGAAATCCATGTTTCTGCAAGGCAGCTGTGACATGTATCTTTGCTCTTCAACAGACTGACGTCAACCACAGGAGAGAGTGCACCAGCCACACACACCTGCCATTCAGGCCTTCCATGACGGGTCCTGCGGGCTGCTCCACAACGGCGCCCATCACACCTTCCCCCTCAGATCCAGGCTCGGGCACCCACAGTGGGCGGGGCATGCCCCTGACCTTCTGCACCCCCTCTGTTTGATGTATACGTGCTCTCGCACATGTCACGCTGGATTGCAGTTATTGGTTCATAAGAATCGGGCATGTTCCCTGTGACGTCTCATCTGAGATGTTTGAAATGGAATGAGACAGGTGTATGGTCCTTAGTGCCTGCATTAGGTTTTACAACTACAAGCACAACCATAATATACAAACACGGACGTGCGGTTAACACCACCTCTCTACGTGAAGAACATGCAAGTGAGTGTGTTGAGGACGGTACAGAGCACACCCTCTCCATGACAGCGGAACTATACCTACTTTCATTTTTATAATAATGTGTTTGGCATCCATAGGTTTCACAGGTTAAAAACTTGTATCTTTATCCCTATAAGTTCTCATTTCCTGGTTTGATAATATAATGTAAGTGTGGTATTCAAGGAAAAATAAAATCAGGAAAGACTTCCAGGCTCACTTGAGCGGGTGGTGTTACCTGCACTGAACTGAAGCTGCTGAAAATTGTTTTTTCCTTATAGAGTTCCGAGCATTTTCAGGAAAGAGTGCATCCAATCTCTAATTTCGTATCCTACAATTATGAACTGTCAGCAATTCAGGAGCCCTGGATGGTGACAGTCCATCTATCTATCTTACATATATATATATATATGTAAATATATATATACACACATACATACATACACTAACTCTTTGGACAAAAACGCTTGTTTAAATAAAACTCTGAAATTACCCTCAATTATCTTAAAAATGAAAATGAGAATTTCTCTTAATAAAATATAAATTACCATTGTAAATTTAAATTATAAAGATATCAACAACCAAATAGAAAATAACTTTCCCTTAATATTTGTATTTTAACACAGAAGGAAAATAGCAATAAGTAGATGCTAATCAGTGTCTTATTTTTAAAATATTTCCAAAGTTAGCCTAAAAACCTTTTTGAATTACAATTTTTGATAAACCTTCTCTGACCATATACACAGAGGCATTCGCCTGGAAGGTTCTGCTTGTACCTGAAGGAGGATGCAGAGCCAGTGACACGTAGCCTGGTGTGAACTACTCACTCTGGGCCGTGCTGTCCATGATGACAGTTACGGTGGTTTGCAGTTCTTGTTTCATGGTTAGACTGTGAGTCTTGTGAAGGGAAGAAGCAAATCTGTCATTGTTGTTCCCTATAGCCCAGCACATACACACACTCAGCACGCCTGTGACCTGACAGGACACCCCTCCTGGTCTAGTACATCACACGGGGTAAATGATTAGTGCTGGCAGAGGAACGGGAAGCCCACAGAGCCCCTGCTGGGCTGTGTCGCACGAGGCCGAGGGCTTTCTGTAAGCTGGGTGAGTATTTACATTACGTGAAAGTTCTGCATTCTACTGCTGATGAAAGGAGAATGAGTAATTAGTGCTAAACACTTCAAATTTCCCTTTAGAAAATACTGTAGCAATTACACATTTAAATTTTATCTTAAATGCAGTTAAATCAACTCTCATGAGTCTTTAGTCATAACTAAAACCTTTAAGGGTATAAATTGCCAGTATATATTAGAGAAGCTTAATCTGTTTAAGATTTTTGATCCTGTCTCAGTGGCCTTCAGATTCTATGTCCTAAGAGTGGACTAAAATAGCTTTTCCACAGTAAATGAATTTAAATACCTAAAGTACAGATGACTTCCAGAACTGGGGTCTGTGAGATTCTGTTTTAGGTACAATTTCTGTTCAACAAGAAGTAATTCGATTCAAACACTGAAGAGGCTGGAAGAAGATCTGGATTCTCGGCCGACATTTTTCTGATGATTAGTAAGTCACTTTATGTGCCTCAGTTTCAAATATGTTAAAGTGAGTGAAGAAACTACTCTATTTTCAGTCCTGTAGGTTTTACAAGTCAAACTTTACGAAGAAAGGAAAGGCCATGCGGAGGCCCTGCGCGCAGAACCGCGAAGAGGGGTGTGTCGGACCGGCTCGTCCGCGGCTTCTCGCGCGCAGCACGAAGACAGGCACTGACGTCGCTCGCATTCCTCGGCCAAAACCGAAAGATTTCGGAGGACCTGGTTTCTAGTGCGCTCTTTCTGTCCCTGGGTCCGTTCACTGACGTGCCGTGCACACTCCCTGACTCCTCTCCACCACTCACTGATGAAGCGGCCATTTCTCCACTGACTCAGCGGTTCAGAGAACCACGAACGATCAGGAAGATGGACCTGCATGGGCCTGTCACCTCGCTGCGCGAGGGTCTCCCCCCAGGGTCTCTGGGAGACGCCAGCCTTGAAGGCACCTCCCTTTGGCTGTGCTGTGCCACTCAGCCACCGTAGGTCAAATGCTTTCCTCATCCCCCTCCCTGGTCAGTCCGTTGTTTAGGTCATCGCTTGTCACTGGTGTTCTGCCCCCAGTGCTGACGACACGTAGTCCACGGGTTACTGAGCAACAGACTTTACATCACAGAGTAAAAGAACACTGAACGAAAATGAGAGGCATTTCTTTTTTTAAAGAAAAGAGGTCATCATTTCTAATGAAACAAGCTTATTGCATTTTTATGTTTGTCTTATACTAAAGAAGATTTTCTGAAGGTGGAACTTAATAATGCAAGCTAACTTATTATGGTTAAAGACACATAAGTATAATAAACATCTATTTTGTCTCATAGGGCAATACCAGAAAATCTAATATCTAATGAAAAAAGAGAAAGGGGAACTAGTATGAGGCTCCATTCATAAATCATAATAGGCTTTCAAAAACCAACATATTTCATTATGAATATAAATCTCAGTAAGATAAAATTATGAAAATTTCATGATTTCAAAGTCTTCAAGTTAAAATGCCTTATTTGAAAACCTGATTTTATGCATATGACAGATAAAATGCAAAAAGAAGGCATGAAATATTGAAATCAACTAACAGACACTGGATTTAAATGACGAAAAAGAAAATGAAATACATGGCATACAGCTCAAAGAATGAGTTTTTAATTTAAAATAAGGAAAATGAGTTCTAGTAATTGATTTCTTTAAATTAATAAAACTATCCAGAAAAATTATTTAGAATCTAAATCAGATAACACATATTTTACTTCAAAATGAAATACAAGTAGGTTTTAGAATGACTCTGCCCAGCATCTAGTGAGTGTCTGACCAGCCTCTGAATCCAGGCTGTAAAGCTAAATCAAGCTGAGTGTAAATGTCAGAAACGTTTGCAGGGTCAGTGAGAAGTTTAATTTGTACTTTTATAAAACCCACATTCAATTGTTCCTTACCTTTTATCCATTCTCTGCTTCAGTAATTTTCAGTGTCATTAAAATAAGAATAATATATTGAATTCCAGTTTGGGGATGAAAAACCACATTTTTTACCTTGGCAGAGGGGAGTGAGGGAGTCCCAGTGATACATCCCCGCTGGATTCCGTGTGCAGGTCGCATTGCTGTGGCCGACCATGCGATACCCGGGCTTGCAAAAATAATGCACTTTACTTCCCACGGCTCCCGTGGTCCTGTTTACAACACCGCCATTCTTTGGGGTATGGGTCAGGCTGCAGTAAGGTGCTACGGGCACACACACACACACAGAGAAATAAACAAACAAATAAAGGGATCGCTGCATTTCCCTTGGCAAGATTGTCAATCAAACAGTCCTACTGTTTACACAGTGGGAAGTTAGCACCAATATGTAAATGTGCAGGGACTGTCCCTCCTGCTGCTGGGGATGCAAACTGGCACCGCCACTTCGGAGGACGGTGTGGTGGTTTCCATAGGACTCAACACAGTCGCACCTACTGTCCCTGCAGTCATGCTCCTCAGTATTTACCCAGAGGAGTTGGAAACATGTCCCCACAAAACCTGCACAGATATTTACAGCAGCCTTATTCATAATTGCCGGGACTTGAAGCAGCCCACATGCCACATGATGGATAAATAAGCTGTGGTCCATCCACACAAGGGAATATTAGTCAGCACTACAAAGAAATGAGCTGTCAGGCCATGAAAGATGCAGGGGAGCCTTAAATGCACATCAGTGAGTGACAGCAGCCAGTGTGAAGAGGCCACACGCTGTGTGACACCAACTCTGTGACATCCTGGAAAAGGCCCAACTATGGGGACAGTAAGTCAGAGGTCAGTAGGGGCACGGGGGGGCCCAGAGGGTGTCAGGGCAGGGAGCCCGCTGTGTGTGACACTGATGGGGGACACACGTCATCACACATCTGTCTGAGCCCCCAGGATGTGCAGCACCGAGCGGCCCTGATATAGGTGGTGGGCTCTGGGCAATGGGGACGTGTCTGGGCAGGCCCAGGCCCATCAATGTGACAAACGTCCATCTGGGGGGACGTGGATAACAGGGAGGCTGAGCATGCAGAGCGCTGGCTGCAGAGGAGACAGTATGTGTGGTGGTGGGGGCTTTATGGGAACTCCCTGTACCTTTCTCTCCATTTTGCTGTAAACCTTAAACTTCTCTGAAAAAAAATAAGAGTCTAAAAAAACAAAACAAAACAAAAAGCATCCAGGAATCCAGAGCCAAGGGTCAAGTCTCTTATTCTGAGGTTGAGATGACCTGGACGTGCTAGTTAACGTGAAGACAGACTCTTGACTATTTGACAAGAATACTGTAAAGAAGCCCATGGAGGGACCACACTGAACCCCCCACTCCTCCCCCCAAGGCTAGTTACCCACTTAAATAAGTGTATTGATCACTAGAATAAGAATGGTGAGGCGCTGCTCAGGGCTCCATATCTGAAACTAAGTAAATCTCAACACTAAGAAGAAAATCATTAAAATGGAGAAAACAGAATATACATTTTGTAATTAAGGCCACTGCATTTTTCTTATCAATTTTGTGATGTGGGTCTTGTGAATTGTAGATGTAGACATTACTCTTCTTTTTAACATAAGGGATGTGAATAAGATTTCTGTAGAAAATGTACTACATTTCTCAATAAAAATCTTACAATAGCTTTAATCTTTGCCTTTGAAGGGATGCTTTTTAAAATTAGAGACAGGCATTTGCTAAAATCATGTGATCTTACCTACACAGAATATAACATTTTGATGGCTAAGAGGCTCTGCATCTTATTTACACATTGAGAGAGAGAGAAACTCAATTTATTCTGGCAAGACCAGTTTCACTGTAGCATAAAATCCTCTGAATTCCCTTCAGATGAATTAAAACAATAGAATAAAGTTATGAAATACTCAAAACTCATGGTTCCTTTTGAAAGAAGTAGCTGTAAGTGTCCTGCTTCCCCATGGGGGTCCACACGCAAGCACACACACACCCTGTGCACGCTTAATGCTGGGTGTTCCTTAGGAATAAACGCAGAAGCAGCTTTGGAAGGTTCCTGTCACTGCCTGGCGCAGAAGCGCTGTCTGTGTGGCCGACCTTGGCCGCCAACCACGCCCCCGCAAGGAGCACCCTCACAGGATATTCTGAGCTGGGTGATCTTCTGAAGTATCATGTCAGGACTGTTTAGAAAAAAGGGATAGTTTTTATTAAGTTAAAACCCATTAAGTGTTGTAAGAAACTTCATTCATTGCCTGGCTGGCCATGCCACTCTCCGTGCCCGACTGTTCTACGCTGAATCTTACAAGTTTTGGATGAACCAAAGTGCTCCGTTCGGGGGAGGTATGAATGTCATCGGGCACCCACCTGGCTGACCGCTCAGGGTCACTGTGCCAGGAGGAAGCATGCGGAAGGTCTGGAGAAGGGGCAGCTGCAGCCCCGCCCCACAGCGAGGAGTGGCCGGTGCGGAGCCTGCTCTGCCAGCCACGGGCCCGCGATGCACGCGCCGCGCACATCTTCCTTGGGGAAATGCATCCCAAACTTGCTACCAAGGCATATTGTGGAGTGAGATGTAGGGAAAAGTTTGGCTTTTCTTCCTTAGTGATTAAAGTGTCTGAGGAATTTGAACTGTCTGCTGCTTCCGTAAGGCAGCACGGACATTCTGTGAGGGGCTGGTCATGGGGACAGATGCACACGGGGGCTGCTACCTGTCGCAGAAGCACAGACCGGGTTCATCAACATAAACACCTGCTGTCCGAGAATGACTAAAACATATGGGGAAAGGACAAAATTTAAATGTTGAAAGGGAAATATATATACACGTAGATACATAAACATTAAGTTTGAATGTGTTATGTGTGTATATATAAACATATATATAATCTGCATATATAAAGAATCTATCAATAAGATATATGATTAATATAAAGATTACTACTACTTATAAAATGGATAGCAATATGATTATCTCTTCCTGTGTGTTTCCTTAACATTTAAATATATTTTTTAGTTAATTTACATTCCATTGCTTTGCCTTTTGGGAAATGTCTTACTTTCCATGGTATGTAATTCAATGGTTTATCATTTTAAGAATAGGTTTTTAGAAATATTAATAAACAAATAGTTGATCTTCCCAAATGTAGTTTAGGGATCTCACTCAGGGTAATTTCCCATCACATGATTTCTACTGAAGCTAATTATTCATCTTCAGAAAGTGAGGTTCTATTATAAGTCTCTACCTAACATTTTTATTTAATGCAGATCACTTGTATGAAAACACTTTTATATTAAACCCAAACCTCACTTACTAACCTGCATAACGAATCTTGAATCCCTTTTTACTGGTTGCATGATCAGTGGACCAGCGGAGATACAACTGGTTACTCTTGCTTGTGAAATTGGATTGTTCAGTATGGTTCCCACTTAAGACCACTAACAGAGGGCTTTGACCAGAAGAACCTAAATAAAACAGAAAACAAAAAAAGTTCAGATATGAGTCAGCACCTACATAATGCAGACTACTTCTAGCTTTTGATTAAATTCGATGTCAATGCACAAAACAGTTATTTATTTCCAAAGCACACTAAGAGTGCCAAATGAGTAATAAAGGAACAAATATTTTCTCTGATAAAAAAAACAGTAGCTACCCAAAATAATTTCAGGTGTAAACTCTATGAACACACGGTGCATAAACCAAATTTACCTTACCTATGAAACAACAATAATTAAAAAAATAGAATTTTTATTATCATTATTATTAACAACATTGTATGGGTAAGGGAAGTGGAACGGTTCATGCAATACTGGTGGATGCATAGTTAGTAAAATCACTGTGGACAGCAATTTGCTAACAGCCAATAAAACTGGGGCTTAATTACTCTTCTATGAACTCCAGTCCATGTGTACAAGGGGTATTATACAGCAAAATGTTTATCCCAGCACTGTTTGTTACGGTGAAATTTATTTCCTAACTTGTAGTTTGGAGTTTTAAAAAAGAATCGTAAGTGCCAGGAAAAGGAATTGTATACAGCATGTAGGATTAATGACCTAGACAGACAAGTGTCAGCACAGGTGATTCTTAGAACAGCTTATTGACAACGGGAGAAATGCATCTGCCGATAAACATGACAGCAGTTGTGTAAGAATTCAAAAGTACAATATACAAAGGTGTGTGTGCATGCGCCTGAGTGCACATGTAGGAGGATGATGGTGGTAGATAGCAGAGAGATGACGAACTATAAAACACGCACAAGCGGGAGACACGGAACTCCCCCGGACATGCCCATTCCTCTGGGAGGGCGCCTGGGGGACTGGGTAGGGGCGGAAGCCCTGTTTTATCTGTGCTCCTTGGTTCTTTAAAAAAACAGAGCCTGAGGCAAATTTGACAAAATCCTAAATTTATTACACGGAGCAATGGACTCCGCATCTGTATTTTTATTTTTTCACCTTTCTGTAGACTTACAATTTTTGAACATTAAAAAAGCAAAGTTACTATGTAATATGCACTTAATCAAAGCAAGGGCAGTGTACAGCCAGCCAACACTGCCATCATCCCTGTAACTGGTCGTGACTTGTCGAGAGAAATAGCTGCACTGGGTGCAGGGGCTGCGTTCACGCCCCAGGCGGCTCACCCACGACCCAGCTTCGGTGGCCTCAACACTCTGGCTCAGAGCCGTCGTGGCCTTCCCGTGGCACACAGTCCGCCCCCAGGGAACATGTTATGAGTGGCAGCACGTGGCTCTCACTCCAGAGGCAGTGTGGATTTTACCAGCCTCAGTGCTACCCGTCCCTGAGACTTGACTGTGGAGTTTTTACTCATGGTGAGACTGACAAACCACGACTTGCCATCAGTGATGTTCTGGGGTTGTTTCCAAATAAATCTGGCATGGACTGAATCACCCCCACTCCCTACAAACCCCTACACTGAAGAACTGACTGTATATGGAGGCAGGATCTTTGAAGAGACGACTGGGCAGAATGAGGCCACCAGGCGGGGCCCTGCTCTGTTCTGATGGGCATGCTGTCCACGGGCATGCACAGAGGGGACAGGGGAAGGCAGAGTACACATGCCCAGGAGGCAGGCCTCGGGAGGGAGCACCCTGCCCGCACCGTGATCTCGGAGGCCAGCCTCCTGGACCCGGGGACGATCAGCTCCTGTTGTCTAAGCGCCACATCTGTGGTGCTGCGTTGTGGTAAGCTAGTTCACAAATACAAAAAGCTGGCCTATTAAGGATGGTCAAGGCACTGTCCACTCTAGCAAGAGCCCAGAGGGAGCAGCAGAAATGTCACTTCTCAGGGCCCTGAGAACGTCCCATCCAAGGGCGGCTGCATTTCCGTGCGGGGAAGGCAGCGGTGTGTCATGGAACCATTTCTTGCTGCTGTCTGAAGACAAAGATTACATTCCAAAATAAAAAACTAGGGAATTAGCTAGCCTGAATGTACGAAATTTTTAAATGTTATTTTTAATGACGGAACACAAGAGTAAAGGTACCGCCCTTTGTCACTCTGCACCTCTGACCTTGGCATGTGTAGTGAGTGGCAGGGCCGATCGGAGAGAAGCAGCCGCTGAGACTGAAACTGGCGGGTATTGTTCAGGTGAGTACCACAGCCTTTCCTCTGACAGCTTTCTGACCCGGGTTCTATGATGGCTAAATTCCTCCTTTACTTTTAATTGAGGAACGCCCCAGTGCTGGAGCTGTAGAGAGCAACATACTCCTGGCTAGTCAGGTTTAGAACCAATGCGTTCAACATGTTTTCTGGTCAACTCATGAGGTATGAAAGAGCCACTGCCTTACAAAAAAGAGGTACGATGGACATGACATTTTCGGGGACGACAGTGCCGATGCTTAAAACAATTATTCATACAGAACCCTGACCTTTCATTTTACAGAAAAATCTTTGAGACTAGGTCAAGTCTAGTCATAAATCTGATAATTCTGACTGCAACTGCTTTGATTTTGCCTGTTATCTACCTCCCTGTGGTCTGTAACGCACACAATCCATCTGTTTGGAAGGGCTTGGGCATCACTACTGGTAATGATTCGCTCCTGAAGTGAGAACGGGGACCAGCACTGCCCGCTGAAGTCCAGTTCAAGGGAGGTGAACAAAGGGCCTTGCATACATTTAAAATAATTAGGTAAGTACATTTAATTACATACAGGAGGTACAGGAATATGTACACACACACACACACACACGGGCACACAGACCCTGGCATTGGGTACCACCCATTTTATTTTTTTATGAATCTTAATTGGCCTCAGAATTGAGTTCACCTGATTCTTCATTGACCTAAGACAGTTTTTGCACTTGGCTAATGAATTACTTCTCCCCATCCTGAAGTCTGAGAGGACTGACTTTCATAGCATACCTGCTTTAACATACACTTAAAAAAACCCAAACCTACGAATATAAAAAAAATCGTTCCTCAGGCCACTGCTTCTCTGTCTATAACTGTAAGCTTAATTCCCAACGGAGCAGTTCATCTTTGCAAATATATAAATTGATTCTTGGGTTTCTATTCATATAAGCAATTTGACTGTTATGATTCAGCAAGTCAGTAAAAGGCATAAAATCACACATAAAATTAATTATGTGTAATTTTTATTCAGTGAATTATTTATCTGAACTCGATGGCAAACCCACCAAAACATGGGAAAACCCTGTTATTATGAAAATCATAATTGTATCTTGGTCTAGGTTTCTGGGACATGATAATGCTGCCATACAAAGGAAAATGTTGACATTAGTTCCATTTCAAACTGACAAGTCAGCCACATATACCACCTTTAAGCAAAGCGCTGATATACTGAAAACTTCATTCGAATTGTATAAAAATGAATGACTTGTATTGAAAACAGTATTAGCATTTAAGTGTATTCTCCTATATTTAAAAAAAATTGTACATTAAAGACTCCAGTAGCATTTATCACCTAGCAATTTTTGTGAACCATTTTCTTTATATACGTCTTCTAAAATAATTATTTAACTGATTAAAGTACCTTCAGGCCTCTTAAATTTTCTAAAATATCTTCTGAATCAATATACAATTTCGAGAGAAAGCTGTTTGAGGTCCACTCTAACCCCGAAGGCTGAAGAGTGAATAATACTTGCAGGAAGCTCAGTGCCTTTCAGGGCTCCCTGACCCGCTAACAAAATGCATTAGTGTTCTACAGACGACCGACCTCTGACAGTGCATGCGACCCATCTCCTGTTTTGGGGACATAGAATTCAACTCAAGCGCACATTCAAGTTCTTTTCTGTGTTGCAAAAGCATTATAATGGTGTTCTTATATCATTACATGTAGGCCGCTGGTAGGTAAAAGGAAGATAAAGACTTAAAAACCTTACCATCGAACACCTCCAGGGCGTCAAACTGCTTCTCACTCTGAAAGGCATCCACGAAGATGGTGACGTTATGGTCCGGCTCCACCCTGATGCTCCACGAGCACGTCTGGGAGTTGAAATAGTTGGCCGGATAACCTGGGCTGAGGATGACTCCAGAAGACTCTGTGCGGACTTCATTTGCTGGGCATTGTGCTAATGAGAAAAGGACCAGTGAACGTTTTCCTTAATGCAAGAATCCAGCTTCAGAAGCACAGTTTCTACCCTGGTATGAACAAGCCAATGAGAAAAAGGAAAGAGCGATCCTACTGAGCTATGACCAAGTTTAATGTAGGGTACAAGCGCAGCAGGGGAGCAGCACTGAATAATAACAGTAACATTTAATATCACCCTGTAATTTAAAAGAGAATAATACATACATAAAACTTTAAAAAATACACATAGCAATATTAGACAGACAGCTAGATAGAGATTAGATAGGCAGGTGATGGATGGATGGATGGGTAGGTAGGTAGGTAGATTGGTAGATGGAAGGACAATGGATAGATAGATGAGATGGACAGACGGACGGATGGGTAGGTGGACAGATACAGACAGACAGATGATGGTTAGATAGATCCAATTTAATTCTGAGGGAGCCTTGGGGCAAAGAGATGAATTCACTGGCCCCGCCCCTGGGAGCCACAAAGTCAAGAAGAAAGCCTGTGTCTGAAGCTCTCTCCCTGGACGAGGTGGTGAAGTGGGGACGTGTTCCTGTGGACCCTCCCTTCGTGAGCCCTGACATAGGCACGGTTGGCAGCACCATGCGGACTTCACGCCTTAGTCACTACCTATGACTGAATGGCCCACATGCCCTGGTGTGGGGCAGGTGCATGGGCGTGTGATCACACAATACTGTTTTCCCAACTTAACTAAAAAGCAAGGTCTTACCTTTTCAATGTGGCATTACAAAAGCATTGTGGAATCATATACAATAACAGAAGAGTTATATTCATTTATGCCTTTGATTATATCTTTAATTTTATTTAGATTGTACATTTTAAACTTGTGATGTTGATTGTTTGGGGCTCTGTTAAAAGCTGAGTCAGAGAGACCAGGGCTCAGAGCCACCCTGGACTCGTGTGTGATGCCTGACAGATGGACAGATCGTGAATGAATCGTGAAGACAGGGTGGACACACTGACACGCTTTCTCCTTCCTACTTTCTCGTTTTTCCTGATTCAACCACTTTCATGTTAATCAAAATAAAACTACTCTGTGTAGGTTTGAAGATAAAAAAGAAAACCACCAGTTTCTTAGCTTTTCTTTCCTAATTTTATCATCTTCCAGAAATTGTTTGTTTGCAGAGCTACCAACAGAAAATTATTTCTATTATTGGTAATAGTTAAAAATAAACAGAAATGCACCAAAACTACTTTAAAAAGTTAAATGATCAGCTTTTCCTTCATGAAAGAGCTTTTATGAAAGGAAATGTGTCTTATTTATCTCCTTTTAATTTACTGTCTATTATTAATACATACATTTCAAATAAAGATAAATAGGTGAGCAAGGATTATGTAATATGTTTTGGTTCACGTAAGCATTAAAAAGTAATTTTTCCCTTTACTCTTTCATGTACCTTAGTGTTCTTATTGAGGTGTCTCTTAAAATTTAGGAGATGTTTAGGCGTAAGACCACCAAAGATGAAACATTTCACAGAACTCTTTTAGTAACTATGCATATTAGGTAGATTTTAAGAATATTTACAATTGTAATTAGTGGTAAGTGATATAGGAAATATTCAAACCAAAACACAGACTAAAACAACTTAGTTAAAAAGCATCCTCTTCTGTCATGGCAGAAGGTCACTCTGTGAAATACATGACGCCCTCGCGGACATGAACGTGCTTAGAACCTGCCCTGACTTTGCGGTGGGGGCCAGAGCTAGCTCTCTGCTCCTCTCTAACCAGAAGGCAGAACCCTGCCTCTCGGGGGCCATGGTCGGACCCAACTGATGCAAATGCGTCCCTTCAAGGTAAAGCACCGCGTGGGCTCGCGCCCGCCTGTCCCCAACAAGCAGAAGCCAGGGCGCTTGGTTCTGCGGGCGGCTCGTGAGCAGCAGGCAGCCTGACCGTCGGTCCAGTGCTCTCGCCTCCGCGCTTGGGTCACTAGGCGGCTCCGGGACTTCAGGCTGTCTGGGATGAAGGGGCGGCCTCCCCGGGCATAGCCGCTGGGCGCCCCTGGGTGCGGCCGCTCCCGTCCTACTCCCCACACCATTTCTGTTCCCAGTCGGACACACGCACTGTCTCTAGGATGCCCTTGGCGGCGTCTCCGGGAGCGGATGGAGTCCTGTCCGCTGTCCTCGGCACATTCCCCCGCTGGTGGACGGCCCCGGGGCGGGGGGCACCGCACACTGGATGCACTGCATGGCCCAGGACCCCCTTGCCCAGGGCCCCCGTCGCACACCTCCTGAAGGAACTGCTGCTTCAAGGCACCTGCTGGCGCTTTGCGTCACCAAACCTCCTGGAAGTCACTACGTTGGCTCATTTTGAAGAGAAATCAGATGTGAGGCTTAAAATCCAAAGTGTATTATTGAATGCATCTTGCAGGCTTCAGCAGAAGTCCTGCAGTCAAACGTTAGGGTTTATAAGTAGGACTGATTCTTAAAGGCGCCCACAGGCACAAGAGCACCATGAAGGCAGAGCTCCGCAAGCAGGCGCGCACCTGTCGCAAGCGCTGAGATGCACAGCGTCGCCCGGTTCTCATGCAGGGTTTTCCAGGGATGCTCGTGGCCCAACGGCTGCTGATGGGGTCTAGTGGTCACTGCAAGTGTGCTTCTAACGTTTCAGACGCGTTTTTAAAAAACCACTGATGATTCCTACTGTCTCTGGGATGAAGCCACCCAGCACTGAAGACCTCTTAAAGTGTGGCCTAATCTAAGCTTCCAGTTCCTTAAGGCCACTTCCCTAACCACCCTAAGGGTAAGTAAGATGCAAGGAGTGCCCTCCTCTGTCCTGGGCGCCCCATGCCCTTTCTTGTTTCCAAATCTTGGTCATTCTCTTCAGATTTCGAGATGCCTCTCTCTCCTTCACATAAAAAAGCCCCTTTTGGGGGGTCCCTTTGTGGTGACAGGGAGCCTTGGGGACCAGAGCTGAGTCTAGGTGAGCGGGGTGGCGTAGGAGGGGCCCCAGGCAGCCTCAGGGCCTGCCCACACCATGGGCCTCTGGTGAGGCAGGGTGGCTGGGTGGGTGCTGGAGATTCAGCATAAAAATTCCCAAACAGCAAGACTGGATGCCCTTCTGAGTGGGTGAACGCCCCCACGGTGGCCAAAGGAGGTCCGCCCCTGGCCCACGGGACACAAGCGCTTGCCGGCCCCGTTTCAGCTCCCACTCTTGGCGCCGCCTCACCCGGTGCTCACCTGTGCCCTCGATACCATCCTTTACGTTGGACGGGCTAAGGCAAGCGCCAGCTTCCTGAGTTTTGTGTGCTGTGGGGAGCCCTCAACCTGTGAGATCTGCTACATCTCCAAGGGTCCGAAAGAAACTGAATTGTAGGTCCCACAGCTGGTGCCCGGAGAGAACAGGAGGACTTCTGGGTGACACTGGGGAACCCGATTCCAGACCCGATGCAGAGATTTCTACATTGAGGACCCAACTAGCTATTCATCTGAACATAGAGCTCAGTTTTACGAACAGATGTTGTCACCCTAAAAGTGGTGATAATCTTCAAAGCACAACTTCTGAAAGCATGGCCATGACCTTTGAAAAAGTAGGATTCAAAGCTAATGCAATTTTTCATTAAGAATTTATTGGTGGGATTGGTCCCCATTTGAGCCAAATCAAGTAATAGAAATGTACTGGAGGAAAGATTATAATTCAGTAAGTGCTTAAGTGATTGAGTACGTGATAAAAGACACTGAGTCCCCATTTTCTCTGTTAGATAATGAGGTGTTTAGGGAATGACAGCTAAGGTAAGTCTCAGCTCATTTTAAACAAATTCACTCCTGAGTAGGAACAGAAGAGAACTAGCTTCTCGGGTGCAGTTGCCGCTACGAGATCAGCAGGGCCTGGGGACCCCCGGCCTGAGTAAAGAGGACGTGTCTTGTTAGCAGATCCCTCCCTGCCAATGTGTGCGAGGGCTGAAGCAATGGACAGACGATGCTCACAGTGTAATACACTGTGTTCTGGGTTGTTGTGAATTAATGTAATTTAAATAAAAACGAGGTCAATCTTGAGGGGGGCCGACATGATGAAGGCATTTCCCTGTTGTTGGAGCAGCATGTTAAATAAATACCTACGTCTTTCTTTACTCATCAACTAAGACTGCCTTTGCCTAAAGTCAAATATTCTGAGAAATTTACAGCTGTGTTTGTTAGGGTTAAGACATGCCTTAAAAAGGTGGAAGATATGTCTCAGTTTTTATACAAAATGGCAAAAGATGAACACTTTCTATTCCCCATCTTGAGAAAGAAAATCCCTTGTGGATCATTACAGATGTAACATGGCATGACGCACCGATCTTTCCAAGAAAATAATGATTCCGTCTCCTGACTGAGCATGCCATGCGACCCCAAGCTCTCAGAGCCCCGTGATGCCCAGCGGAGTCCCTGTTGGTTTCACAGGCTGGACAGCACGGGCCGGAGCAGGGGAGAACGGGCCCCCACTCTCGGGCGCATTTCCCAGCGAGGTGCAACTTCAAAGTATATTGCATTACTGTGGTTATTTAGTAAGAGTCCATTCCACATGTTCTTCACACGTGGAACGATCACTTCTCTCCGGGTCTCTGAGGTCTGCTCATCAGCACCCAGAAGCACAAAGGCACAAGACGCCCTCAGAGAGCGATGCCCGGGGACGGGCCCCCGGGAGTCAGTGCTCCTGCTGTGTGAATGCTGCTTTCTGTGGGTGGGTAATTAACATTATAAAACCGTCAGAAAGGTAATTCATCTGCTCGTGCCTGTGTCCTCACAGCAATCCCACAAATGAGGCCGACAAAGTATATCCCTTACGCATCATGCCCGGGCGGGGGGACTGGTGTCTCTGCAGGGTCACTGGACTATCCAGGCTGGGACTTGGCCTGAATTTTGGCCTCTTTTAGGTACTTCACTATCGCTGATGAATGATAATTTTTCAGTTCCTTGAAAGGGGAAGTTTCATTTTTTTAAAGCAACTAAATGTACATTGTGGTTTTGAAGTAGTAAAATAAAAACTAGTTTAATTTGGGAAGCTTTTTGACAAGTAAATAATGATACTTCTAACTTGCATTGAGCCACCTTAGCTCATTTATGGTTTTTTTGAGTCTTTTCTTCCAATATACTTGAGAGTGGTGCTTTTTAAGTGATCTAATTATATTTAAATTAATTAGATCAATAGATCTCAGATCTTATTCCAAGACTGCCTATGCTCTTGCATCTGGTCTATGTATTTTAAAGGCATGTAAAAGTGTGGATTGTGTATATTTTATTGTATGCACCAGATGTGCACCTCAATGTTTATAAACTTTACAGAAAAAATAGTGAACACTAGATGGTTTCATCCATGCTAAAATACTTAAGAGGGGAAGAGAGTGAAGCAGTGGTCTGCCTTGAAATGCATCAAAAATGTCAGCTAAGTTACTGGATGGATAGAAAGGTCCCAGACATGCGGCAAAGGGCGCCTAGTAAACACTAACGGTGGACCTAGATGGTGGATGGCCAGGCATTTACTTTGGAATTATTCTGACCTTGTCAAATTGAAAAATTTCCTAATAAATTCTTGGGGAATAAAACCAGACTTTTTATTGGATGTGGTTTTGATTCATTTTTCTAGAGCTTGCTAAAGGAGAAAGGCAATTAGCTGTTTCTGTGAGCAGGTAATTGTAATTGCAAGGGGATCATAACACAGAGATGAAACTGAGACCCAAGCAAAGACATCCAGACAAGTCCAAGCGACAGAGCCCCCTGCTGAGGAAGCATGTCCATCGCGTCCAACTGCCTACCTTCGCACGTTGGGGGAGAGCCTTTGAACTGCAGTTGGGAGCTGAGCCGGCAGGTCAGCGTGTCTGTCCCAGACAGCGTGTACCCAGGATGGCATTGGTACCTCACGAAATCTCCTGAGGGTCACACAACATACTTAGAAATCAAGTTTCTGTGACGTGGAGAGCATGAATGTGCTCAACACGTATGACGACAATTCAGTCTATGTGCAAACCAACCTCATGTTCATTTATAGTCTGTGCAACAAAGTAGCGCCATTCTCTGTTCTTATTTTATAAAAATGCTATCTTAAACTTAACTGTCATTAGTACAGAATTATGTGGCAGTTTTTTCTTCCTTGATGGATGTGTCTATGTTTCTTCCCCTTCCTTCATGACTACTTAAAAAAAAAAAAAAGTGAAATCGACTGTTGGGATTTAAGGATGTAGAACAGAATGGCTTTAACGCACCCAGAGAAGGCTGCGCCAGGACCTCGGCCGACGGCCCCTCTGACCACACCCTCGTGAGCAGAGCAGAGACTGGGCTGTGTGGCCTGAACACGGTGTGACAACCTGATGGAGTATTTATACTCGGAACTGAGAGATCCTGGGTCATGATAATTACACTGCTAGCATGTGCCACGGCTGATTTCCTAGTGTGACCTGATGATTATTTAACAAAACAGACCATTAGTGTAAAATGATAAAGCAGAATTTCTAAATATCATCATTAAATATATTCACCAATTATATATCCCAGTTTCAGTGAAAGGTCAATGTTACACTAACCATTATTTTAGCTGCGAATAAATTAGGTTCTTCTAATTCTTCAGCTAAACACGAATGTCTAAGTCTGTCGTGGAGAAGTATATTAAAAAAAAAAAGGGGACTGATAACTGCTCTGGGGGCAGAAATGGACTCACAACGACAGAAGCAAGATTCAAATGGCAAAAAACAAAAATCTTGGGGATGGAGAAGAAAAAAACAGATTTATCCACTATCTGACCTCTCTGCATCACTCTGAGTGACGGTTTAGGGGTATAAAAAAAAAAAGGGGACTGATAACTGCTCTGGGGGCAGAAATGGACTCACAACGACAGAAGCAAGATTCAAATGGCAAAAAACAAAAATCTTGGGGATGGAGAAGAAAAAAACAGATTTATCCACTATCTGACCTCTCTGCATCACTCTGAGTGACGGTTTAGGGGTATCATTCTGGCCAGCACTCATGTCCTCGTCTGCGTAGCTACTGCAGCGGGGGCAGATGTGGGAGGGCAGCCGCGCTAAAGGCACCGAAACTGAGAAAACATTACCTATTCCAAAGTCCTCATCCTCAGCGAGCATTTCGGCCTGTGGGACCACTGGCGGGGACTGACATTTCTTGAGCTGAAATGCTAAATGGTTCATGAAAAAAATTATAATGGTAATTACATTTGCTGAATAACAAAAATTCCAAAGGCGTGCCTCTTAGGTTATATGGCTTAGTTACACTGAAGTGTCTACATTTGTAAATCCTTGTTTCACACGATTGTCAAGCTTCAAATGCTTACAGGATTATTTAATGCCAGGGAATATGTGATGCTGAAGGGGAAAGGTAAACAGTTTAAGAAATTATGACATTTAGATGAAAACACGGTACATTTGTTTGGAATTCTGCAAGAGAAATAGTCACCCAGGCAGGGTTCCACGTCCTTATGTACCTGAGAAAAGATCTCTCTCTGCCTCGTCCTGAGGGCCTCTGCGGTGGAGTCCTCCCGAGAGGTAGGGGGAAACTATGAGCATTTTTTTTCCAGACTACTTAGCATTCATTCTCACAATCATTAGAGATTTGCTTTAGCCACATCTGTAATTACAGGCTATCGAGGTTCATCTGGAGAGGAGGGGAAATCTACTACAGGCACTAAGTGCATCTCCAGGGCCTCCACATCAGCCCAGTCACAATTATGCACATCTCAGAGTGAATCCAAGCTTGCTACAGGACAGATGGGAAGTCGTGAAGGCAGCATTAAGCAAAAGGTTGCAGGAGCCCCTGCATCAAATGCAAGAAAATCCCACCACACTCTGTAGATGTGATCAAAGTCCAGGTGGAAGCGCAGCGCAGCTACACTATGGGGAAGGCCCGCGGGCACTCCACCTTGATCGGGGCACGGGGTGCACGTACCATGGAAGTTGAGCACAAAGAAGCCCCCGTTGGAAAAGTCACTGTGGAACTTGAGCAGGACTTGGTTGGTGGAGCTGTGCGCCGTCTCCAGGGCTGTGTTTCCACTGAACACGCCGAGCTGAGGTGACGTCTGGTCAGGCCCGTCCCTGGGAAAGGGAGAGTGAGAGGGTTGAGGGGACAGTGGCAGCTGAAACCACTGATCCGTTTTCTCCTCCCTGCAGGGCTCCGTCTTGGTAAACGCAGGATGCGTGACCCTGGGCTGGTCTAGGCTTTGGGCAGGGCTGGCGCCCGAAGCAGGCACTCAAGCGCCTCGCCTCACTCCACAACTGACCTGTCCAGGGGGGCTCAGGAACCCAGCCACACTCACAGGGAGATGAGGATACCATTTCTAGCTTTTTTCCAAATGTCCACATGTGAAAGTCAAAATTCAGTGGTTTTATTGTGGGTGAGATTCATAGAAATCTTGCTACTGAATAAAAGTGTTTTTGAAGACTGAATAAAACAGTATTGTTTTCTGGTTACTGGGCTCAGAAATGCCAGGATGTGTAATAGTCACAAAGTCAACTAGACTTTGGTCCTCATCAGCTCCGATGACAGGCCCCCGTCACCACGCAGAACCCGGCCACCCCTCTGAACCTGCGGGCTGATCGGGCAGCGCTGCTGGCATCGCAGTGCTGCTGGGGGTTTGTCTGCACGGCTTCTGACCTTGTGCGGTTTTGCCTTGCTTGGCCTCCCATGGCTGTCTGGGCCTGACTGAAGCCCCAGTTCAAGGTCTCCGTTTCTCAGTCCCACAGCCTCTGGTTCAGGCCATAATCATCTCCTTCAAGAGTCGTTTCTGCAGCCCCCAAAGGTAGCCTACCTTCCTGCCCTCAACTAAGGCTCCCCAGCGTGAGACTGGCTATTCCACAAGCAAGATAATTCTCCTCTGGAGGCCCAGAGGGGCGTCCTCACTGCTCTCAGAATGAAGCTCAACGCCCTTAACGTGATCTGTGTCATCTGTGTCTGCTTACCTTGCTGGCGGGCCGCTTCCTCTCCCCTTGCTCCCCCAGGACACATACCTGAGGCCTGCCAGGGCCTTGGACTCCCCTGTTCTCCTGCCTTGCTGACTTCCCAATAGCCAGGATGCCCTGACCCTTACAGTAACTCCCCCCAGCCCCCCGCACGAGGCGCGCAGGCACTGTGGTGCTGCCTGCTGCCACTCCAGGAGCTTCATCCCCACAGACACCCCGCTCTTCCCATCGGGGCTGTGCTCACCCACTCATGCCCCCTGGTGCTCTCTGCTGCTCCCACCAGTGTCACAGGGGACTGCCGACCCCTGGTCCCTCCTAAACTTCACCTCCAAGAGCAAAGGCATGGGCAGGCGTTCCTGCAGGTAGGGACGTTCAGTCAAGAGGAGTGTAAGGGACTCGGACCAGGCCATACAGCTCATTAGAAAGGGCCAGAGCTGTGGCCCCACGCCCCACGCCCTCCTACACGGCTACAGGAGCAAGTTCTGCAATGTCTGATGTCTGTGAAGGGTGGATGGAAGGCTGTGTGTAACCATTGCTTCAATATTTCTAGAAGAACCGAATTCTTATAACAGCAAAGGTTCTACCAACTTCTCTTTTAGAAAAAAAAAAATCACACTTAAAAATGTAAAATAAAATAAACATGGAATATTCTACACTCAGAATGACCCTGAATGTAGCTGCCACATGGCAGAACTCCAACATGTCACATGACATTTCTTCCCTATATTGTCAGATTTAGTTGGTGAATCTCCTTTCCGGTGCCTACCCAGCCACTTCATTTCTAAACCTATAATTAGACGTGCAAGTGCCATGAACGTGGCTCCAAGAACGGTTTGGCACAATCACAGGTCGGTTTTTACGGAAAGGCTCCCATACCAAACGGCGATGTAGTCGTTGACGGCCTCGGTCTGCAGCAGGGTGAAGTTGATGTACACCCCATGCCCAGGTGGTACGGTGATGAGCCACACGCAGTCCTTCAAGATTGGGTACTCATCTGGGAATCCAGGGGAATAAATGGTGCCATTCTGAGAGGTCACATTATATCCACAAGGAGCTGAAAAGGAGGCAAAGAAAAATTAAGCCCAATAAGAGTCAGCTTTGGAAAGGATGCAGTTAAATATCCCTAAGTCTCTAAAGTTCCTTGGCCAAAATTTTCTCTTAGAAGAAATAATTGTGAGATATTTCTCAATAACTACTTTGCCAAAATAATTCTCCTAAAGTCTTGAAACCCTAGAAAAATTATACTTTCTAAATAAAGTTATCTAAGCTTCATTTAATATATTCTTCAAACATTCAAAATCCCTTCAGGATGAAGTCATTCCCATATAACTAAAAGGAAGAAAAAAAACTTGCTTGTCTCCTGGGACAGAGTGGTGACCCACAAGACTACGTGATGCCAGGGATCAGGTGGGAATTGTGCATAAAGACAGAACATATTCTTTTTGTTTTAAGTGAGATTTCTAAAGCCTATTTAAACAGTCTAAAAGACTCCCATCGAAGTCTGCTTGCCTTTGAACAAAAACATTATAATTCTTCACAGATCTATACCTGAGGAAATGAGATAAAACCATGTAAGCACTGTTTCACTGAGCATTTTCCCAACTGTCCAGCTTTCAACTATGTGAAGAGTCACAATAATACCCATCTGCCTATTTTTATTTTGCTTAATAAACCGATATTCACTGTTGCCACGGCAATCACTTTATTTACAGAAAAATGAATGGCATATCATTGATAGAATAAGCTGAGATGTAGTCTTTAAGTCAGACTGCGATGTGATATATCAAAGTCATGGACAAGCAGACTTTTAATTAAGCCAAAAGCCAAACAGACGTGGCGTGAGTGTCTGTTATAGGTGTGAGCCTTCTGAGGCTTTCAAAGACTTGTTGCAAAAGGTGTAGAATTTAAGTGGAGTGAATGGGCCCAATACATTAAAAAAAAAACAACCGGGGGAAAGTTCAGCAGCAATCCCAATAATGGCTGACGAGGCCAGAGGTGGTACATGATGGCTGCCGAGCTAGGTGCACAGACCCACACTTGCTTCAGGTGAGGGAGAAACGTGCCAGTATAAAGTGGCCGCAATGTTGCCCAGGAGTAGGACATTAAATTTTTGAACCATGTTTGTAAGTGTAGATGCACAGTTCATTATCAAATGATATTCAAGCCATATATTGATAATTATAACCCATTTTTAAAGACTGAGTCTTCTATATAACTTACTGGAAAAGTGACACTGACACATGTGTGGGCAGCATTCCTTCTCAGGAAACAGACTCTTCTTACACATCTTTTTGTAAATACAAGCTTTTATAGATAAAATGACCTTTGCTTTAAACTAACACCCTCTGCTTATTTTTTTTTAATTTAATCCAATATGGAGAGGATACTGAACACATATACAGATGGTGCTTAGCAAGTTTACCTAATGCTATCATTTTATATGCATCGTATGGTGTGGTTTTCTATTCTGTGTATGACGTTATAGATCTGAAGACAGTTATGGTAGTAAAGATATTTGCATAGGAAAGCTTTGACAGTGCCAATAGTGAGGTTGCTCCTGATCGGGAGGTACCACGGCCTACCTGACAGGTCTCCTGTGGTGGCTGCCTATGCCTGCTAGAGTGTGTATGAGGCTGGTACCACCCAGACCAGCCATGCGGTATAGGGTAGGAGCTCTGATCACAGGGTATGGGCTGGCCTGGAAGCTGCTCTTAACCACAGGACACCAGGTCCATCAGCCATGCCTCCATGTAGGCCCCCGTACAGACCCTGGGCACCGAGGCCCGGGTGAGCTCCCCAGGCCAGCGACATTCCATGACCTGGCCACCGTGGGCTCTGGGACTGGCTCACCCCTCCAGACCCTATCCTGTGTGCCTTTTCCCAAGGGTGCTTTCACAGCGTCCTTTCCCTGCTACCAACCGCCACCAGGAGCATGACAGCTCAGTGAGCCCTGGGAGTCCTGGTGGGTGTCCAGCCTCGGGGGTTTTGGGGCAGCCCTGAGATTTTGGCTAGCGTGGGGAGTCCTGGGCAGACCGGGTGCCAGGAGGGCTTTCACCTCCCAGTACAGCCCAGCCCTGGTGTGTCATGGGTCATGATGTGATTACAGAAGACGGGATCACCTTTAGGCTGTACCAAAAGCAATGGGTTTTGTCATTTTTCACACTGACAAAAGTTATTTCTAAGCCAGCAGTTATTTTCACTTTAGAAAACTGGGCTTGACAAAGTGATGGACCCTAATTAAATATTTAATTCTACAACTAACACAAGTCAAAGAGTCTTTCATTTACACAGATATGAAAAGCATTCAGGTGAAAACTGCCAATAAGAAAAGGGCTTAAAGAGGGCAATTCTAATTGTTTCATACACATAAATATATGAATTTTTAAATGGAAAGTAGTATGAAAGTATTTCTTAAAGAATTTTAATAAAAAAGCACCAAATATGCTACCAATGTATTACTTTTATAAAATAATTCTTAAAATGCTCTTACATATGTTATTAAATTTGTTCTTGACTAAGATAAGGTTTTTTTAAACATACAGCCAAAGTAGTTTTTTTTAATAGTTTTTATATATAATGTAGAAGGGAAAAACAGGTGAAAATATGATTAAGAAGTCCACTGATGCACTTTTTCCTAGTTCTTCAGTAGAAATTCAGTCAGATGCCTTCCCCTTCTTCCTCTGGGATATAAGCACTTAGAATTTCAAAGGTCCACAGAGTTGGCAATTTCACTATTTTCTCATTCAAAGGTACTGTGTTTTTGACATTAGAATATTAGGCTTACAGTAACTTTTCTGTATCATAGGCTCTCCTCATAAACAAAGTACTTGATCTCTTTATCTTAACTTAATATTGCATAAAATTCAAAGTCATCACAAAAACTAGGTAGCCACACAGAAACGTTAAAGAAGGGATTTCTGCTTAGATGAGGGATGCCTGAGGAATCGCGATTTCCTACCAGTGCTGCCCAGAGACCAGATTCCAATGACTCCCGAGAAACCCCAGCCAACACGCGCCACCAGACTGCGCGCCGGCCTCGCTCTGCGCCCCAGGTCCGAGCCTGTCTACATCATTGCGTCTACCTGGGCGCTCTCTTTCTCTGAGTAACAACAAAATTAATGCTTCTAAGCCCACAATGAAATCAGGTTTTGGGAATACAGAAGCAATATATGATCACTGTAAAAGCTAAACAACAAAAGATATCTAGGGTAAAATTAGCAAGCATCCTTTCCCCGAAGAATCCCACCATTTAACAGAACCACTGAAAGCTAAATATTGCTGCCACTGAAAAGATTTCCCTGGCCACTTCCCAAGCACACACCACCCTTTGTATCTGCAATTCACTAAACGCTCTCCTTGCATATGGTTTTGCATTATAAATATTTGCATTTATTGTTAGTTATCCTCATAATTTCCTTGAGGGAAGGCCTGTTTATTAATCGTTTTTTAATGCACTGGCACATTATACGTTCATGAAATACTAAGTAGAATGAGTTTAGCACAATAGATTCCCAATATATATTTGTTGAGTCGTAAGTTCTTGAATATGCTCATGTAATATTTAATGCGCTATTACATCCCTGAAAAACAGAATGGCTCCCAAGAAGAACAACGAACTTACCATCGCATCTCGGAAAGGGGTAGTTCCAGTTTCTGTTGAGCCCATGCTGACAGGTGAGGACTGGGTGGCCGATTAAAACATACCCAGGATAACACTCAAAAGATATCGATTGTCCCACACTGTAATCTGAGTTGATCATATACCCATTCTGAAAAGGTGGTGGGTCTGGGCAGTTCTGTAATTCATAGGCTGAAACAGACAGACAGAACCAAGCTCGTATGTAAGAAGTTAAATTAGTCTGGAATTGAGCAAAGGAATATGATCACATACAGTTTCTTAAGATGAATTTTTGGTATCTTTTTAAAAATATCTTTTCCGAGTTGCCAGTTACCGTCCTGATGAGAACAGTAATTATTATTAGTAATAGAAGTACAACACGCACTTAATTACGGCAAACTGCATGTGTGATTAAATTGCCTTAAAAGCAATATAGCAAATACAAAAAATAAATTTGACAATGTTTACTCTGGAGAGAAAGTATGTAAGGAGGGTGTAGTTTAAAAAGAGTAAAACAAAATATAATAAAAGGCTCTATAAAGAATGTCAGGTGAGTGTGGACCCATTTCCCTTCACTTGAAAAGAGAGTCATGCCGGCTCTACCTGAAGTGCGTCTGCTCAGGAAACGTGAAGTTGTTATATTCTGATTCAATAAGTAATTGTTCAATATAAATCAAAGAGAGAAAATTCCATTTTCTTAATTTTTCCCTTAAGAAAACAACCTGCAGTATCATTACACAAGTACTATCAGTACAATTTTTTATGACATAGCTTATGTTATAAATACATATATTTATGTTTTCAATATAATAAAGATAATGTTCAGTTGACACATAGCATCTTTGCAAATTCCAAAATTGTGAGTTAAAATCTTGGAATTTTAGCTCACAGTTTTAACAGTATGGTTAAATAAACCCTGACTTTAGTTAGCAGGTTACAAAATCCCTAATGTCACTTCATTTCATATTTTGGCATGCCTTGGTTTTAATTATTTTCATATTTACAATTGTAGAACGTCTCTGGACAAGAGTCAGATACGCAGCTGACTTTCCTGCGGGCAGGAGAGCAGACATTAGCAGACATGCTCACGCAAAGGCCTCTGGGAATCCTGAGACGATTCCGGGTCCTGGCCACCTGGCTCCAGGGCGGGAAGAACCCGGGCAGGCCGAGCCCTCCCTGAGTGGAGTGGAGAAGACGAGCTGGGGAAGGAACGGCGCCTCTGAAAAGCACCCTGACTACGGATTCCTGAAGAGGCCTGGCGTAAAACCCCAGCTACTCCAGCCTCCCGTGCCGTGTGCTCCCCAAGGATGAAGGAGCGCAGTTCACTGAGCGTGCTGGGGAAACCCAAGTAAGCTGATTCATGTGCCAGGACCTTACACACTCTAAACTGCCATGTGCCACAACTATTTTCCTTTCATTTGTGTGTAACACACCTCAGTATTACAGGGAACTGACCCCATATACTGAGGTGAACAGGCTGTGGGAGTTTCTTGTGGACTCAGTGCCAAGTTGTGGCACGTAACCCCTAGAACGCAATGTGGAGATGTGAGTTTCATTTACACAAAACCAAACATGGTTCACTACTCATAGAATGTGTTACCTGCAGCTGCTTTTTGCTGAAGGTACATTACGACACGGAGCTCCTGAGACGATCGGGAGGGTCTCCTACAAGGATCTGACCCAGATCAACAGTATTATAAGCACAGTTACTATTAATGGGATTCACAGCAATAACAACCATTTGCAAAAGGAAAAATGCATTCAAACTCACATTTTGGAATACAATTGTGAGTTAAAGACAGTAGCTGAGTGATCTAGGCAGATGTTTTCCAGCATCTTATAAGTAGACTATTTTAGACTATTTTATACTTGAAATCTCCATCGTACCAGATTTCAAGGGAAAATATAGTTGCACAAAAGAAGAGTTTCCAAACCTTTATGTCTTTGAAGAACATATATCAAGGGCTGTGCTCACATCTGTCACTACTGATTGCTCTTGTAATGCCGTCACATCTTACTTGAAAACTAGATGCTTAGAAAACACCATGCTAATAAGTGTAAGGACACGAAACAGAACAGGAAGCCTAGTTACCACGTCTTTCTCTTTACCTCTCATGTGTGTGCACGTGCACACACACACACATGCACACACTGTTTCCCCTCCCCGAGCTCCTCCCTGAGCTGACCTGGCAAGCACAAAGCAGGCCCCTCGCCTCTGCCAAGGGCCCCACATTAAACTCCGTGAACACAGCCTTTCCCTGAAGTGAGGGCCAAGCGGCTTCCATGCCAGGCTAGTATCTGTGCATGGAATCAGTCTGCAGACCCGCGCTCGCAGGAAGAACAGAACGCGACAGTGCCCCTCCCCCACCAGCCAGCTTCCTTCGCTGCTGTGCTCTTACAATGACATCCACATTTTGTTCTCATTCTCGTTTTGCCTGAAATACAATAAACTCTGTTGGAGAAATGAGACCTCTAATACATCACATACAACTGCTAATTAAATCATAAAAAAGCTCTCAGAGTGGACAGCCAGTTTCCATGGGAGGGGAATCAAATCAGACCATTCAACATGACCTCAACTCCCCTGGAGATGCCATTAGCGTGTTTAGCAGTGAACGCGGGACCCCAGAAACACCTTCACAAACACGGTGAAGAAGGGAACAGTTCAGAGATTCCTGATGAATGTCACACACAGCTGCACTGCCAGGCGCACGCATGCACACCCACACACATTCACTCCGGCCTGTTACACGGACGGGTCTGCGCTTTGCATCAGCATCTACGGAAGATGACTTGGAAGCCCCCTCGAGTATGTGGCATCCCTCTCCATGAAAAAGTTCACCCAGGCTCCCAGGAGCACGTAAGCCACAGACGCAGACTGGACATAATGCCCAGAGTGGCTCTTCCTTTGTCATAAGGATGGGATCTGGGTCTCACTTTTAAGATATTCACCTAAACGCTCTTTTTTGATTATGTTAACTCCATGATCCCAATACCTACCGATGAAGCTGACCTGTGTTACTGCTGAGGCTGCAGCCAACCCCAAGCCTCTCAGGCTCCCTGGAGTCTTGTGGACACGGTTACCCCAACTGCTTGCTCACAGCTGCCACAACTACGTCCTGTGCTTGGACGGACTAAGGATGAGTTGCACGTGGTCCTTTGGCAGAATAGCATTTACCTGCATAAAAATTCATAATTTGACCCAAAGGGACTGCTGGGCTCCTGAGCCTGAAGACTCAGACTTAGGTGCTTCTGGCACAGCCAGGCCCATGGGCAAGCCGGCTGTCGGCTTGGGGCCACCTTAGACCTGTTGTGTGGTTCTTTTTCTAGACCATTCATTTTGGACTTAGGTAACTGATAGCCTTTGGAACTTGACAGACATGGCCTTAAAAACCCTACCACCCAGGAGACACGTGACCTGAGTGGGGTCTGCATCTGGATCAGGAGACTAGTCTCCACAGAGGGGCTTGTGGGGCTGGTTGCCTTTACACTCAGCAAACCTATAAATGGAAAAGCAAATCCACGTGACCTGCAAGGGGAAACGGCTCAGGTTTGCAGACTAATATCTAATTAGTTGATAAATATCTTCACACTATCATCTTTTTTTCCAGTTTGTGACTTAGAAATACAGTACATGAACTCAATTTTATTTTACACAGCTCTTCACCTTCTATTTCTCAAATTCTGGATAAGTCATTTAACTTCCAGACAGCTACATCTACAGTAACATTTTTGACCTTTATGGCCATAAATAAATGACAAGGTTTAGGAATAAGGGGCACAACATAGACATCACTGAGAATGACAAAAGTTATCTACATAATTTATACACCTTCTTATAAGTTATTAATTATAAGCTTAACTTTTAAATCTCCAGTGGAACCTAGGAATTTTGATGTGACATACAAATCAGAATTGTGTCATTTTACCAACTTAGGTATTTTATAAAATGACAAACACTGATAAGCTATCTAATTAACTATCATCCTTGTCAGATATGATACCCTACAAGAATTTGGAATATCTCAGATTTGTGTTCTTATTTTCTTTTTCTAATTTATTTTTATATCTCTCAATTATAGCAAATTGTTTACAATAAAAAGTATATTGCTTAGGGATTTTAAAAAATATGGATATTTATCCAGTGTCCAGTAGATAAAACATTGGCTCAACCACTCACATGTTTGGCCTAGATGAGGACTCACTAATTCCAATGCCGGAAGGCCAAGCAGGCACTATCGACGGTCAGAGCTGCCCGGGAGCCCAGGGCACTTCTGCAGTCAATGCCTTCCACTCTGACACCTGAGGAGACTCTACACATCTGAGGGCTGGCCAGACGCTTCCAGATTCCGACATTGAAGACAGAGAATGGAAGTGGACCTATGGTATTTTGCAAATCATGTGAAAGCTCATTCTAAATATTAACAATTAAAAAAATACTGGTATTTTGCCAGCCATTTGCAGCACCTTACGACCTCTGCTCTAGATGAGTCCGACTTAGACCTGTTGTGTGGTTCTCTTTCTAGACCATTCCTTTAGGACTTACGTAACTGAGAGCCTCTGGAACTTGACAGATATGGCCTTAAAAACCCTATGTGGGAAACAGCCCAAGAAATAAAACAAAAACATGTCTTTGAGCTCTGGAGGTTCAAAGTTACTAAGATAACATATAGTTTCAAATCCCATGGTGAACAGCACTTCCACGGGTGTTTGCATTTGACTTTTGCAACATCAATAAGGAAAGAGGACTAAGACTTTGAGTTCATCATCAAGAATATCTGAAAGAGGCAGAAACTACTGCTTAATTGTTACACAATTATAATAATTATGCCTAGGTTCTTAGTGGCTCATATAGTAACATCGTGCCAGCCCAACCATGGAGATGTAATAAGACCAAGTTCAAGATAAGTGTGAATGAAATGTTCATGCTTTAGTAGCATTTCCTTCGGAGGCACAGGGACGGGGTGGGGGCCGGGTGTGCAGAGGTATGAAAAGGACGCATGGACTTCATCGCCAAGTGTCCTTCACATAGTCATAGTAGGCCGAGCACACAGCCAGATGCAGGGGACAAAAGTCATGTTGAGGCCGGACCCCGTCTCCCTCCCGGAGGCCTGCACCCCCTGCACCAGGGCCTCTGAGCCAGGAGTGCCGACAACGCTCAGGGGAAGTGAAAGATGCCAATACAGGGCCCCCAGCCCAGTCCTGCAGCTGAGTCAGAAGAGGACAAAGAGGCTAAGAGAATAAGGCAATGGCAGTGAGACAGTGGAATGACCATCAGATCGCACTGTCCGAAGCCAAGGGGAGAGGGCGCCCAGCCAGAGGAAAGGACAGTGGTGCTGAGGCCAGCAGGAAATGTGGGAAATGCCCATTCCAAACAGGGACTAGGTGGCATGAAAACCTGCTGGGTGGCAAGACCCGGTCCACAGAGGGCATGTCAGTGGCTGGGGGACAGGGACCAGGTGCAGAGCCCGAGAAGCCTGAGGAGACGGTTCCTCAAAAAGCGCTTCTTAGAAGGTGGAAGCTCAGGGAAGCAGGGGATCCGAGGTACATAAAACCCCACACACGCGGGTGAGGGGGAGAGAGCTCAGTGCGCCTGGAATGCTGCTGGGCAGGCCCGGGCAGGAAGGGGCGGCTGTGGACGCGGTGAAGGGCTCTGATGGGCAAAGCCGGAGTGCAGGCGGGGTGGGGCCAGGGGAGGAGGAGGCCTGCCACCCGGGGAGGGAACAGGGCGGATGGCGCGCGGTGGGGCACCTGTCGCCTCCCGCTCTGCGGCGGGCGTGGTGCTGCCCTCCCGCGGTAGCACAGAGCAGTCCTGGCACGGGCCCTGCCCTCTTCCTCGCAGCTCCAGCCTCCATTTCCCTTTCTGGTTGCCTCCTACCAGGATTACTATTTTAAGACACCCAAATTTTGGAAACCTGAAGTTGTATTTTATATATTTTTTATGTAATAATGTCTAAAAGTTCAACACAAAATGCCATCCTCTTTCAGCAATAAAATATTAAAAAGCTCTATTTTTCAAGGGCAATCTATGAAATTAAAGAAAGCAAGTGATTTAGCCATGATGAAAAATGACCTATTTTTGACATTTTCAACTTCATTTAACACCATTTGAGAAAGATCTACTGAATTATTTGTTATGAAATGAAAATTTTGACATTTTTCACATGTCAGAAATGCCTGGATAACGGTCAGTTCCAGCTTGCCTTAGGCCTTCCCTTTGTGTGGCTTAAGAACAAAGGATGAAGTCCATCCACGGGCATAACTAGCACAGGACTTGAGCAACGTGCTGATCCACTGATCTGCGTGGAGACCAGGCATGGGAGGTGCTGCCAGGCCCGCTTCCATCGTGAACCGAATGCACAGTCCTGAAGGGCTCGGTGCACAGGCACACGAGGACGCTGACCAGACAGGTCACGAGACGAGCCAGCGGCTCAGGTGCGCGCGGAGGGCCATCGGGGAGCACACGCCCGGGGAGGGGAGTGGCGGCTGTGACAATGCGGAGCCGGTCACAGCCTGTGAGGCGACGTCCAAGACTCGTGTGTCAGGACGGCAGTGACCCCACCCTGGGGGGCGAACAGCACCCCTGAGAGGCGCTCCGGCCCACGAGTCTCTCTTACTGGCGCGGGGCGTACATTTCCGAACAACTCGTAGGTGAGCAGCGGCTGTGGATTCCCGTTCTCCTCCTTACCTTGGTAAGCGAGTTTGAACCCCTGCCGGTTCTGCGAGTGGTCACTGTAGAAGTGGACGAGGGTTTCGTGCGTCGTGCTGAGCAGGGCGGAGGGCAGCTCGGAGCCGCTGAACTGCCCGATCATGGGGCTGCTGCGGTGAGGACCATTCTGAATTTCAAGGTAGTCATGATTAGCTTCCGTGGAAAAATTCAGAAACTGAATATGTGCACCTATGAAAAAGTAGGCAGAAGAAGTAAAAGTTAATATCAAAATTTATAAATTGATTTTGGCAAAAGTGATGAAAATTTCACTAGTCTCCCCACACAATGTCTCTCTTGGAGGCAGAGCAGCGCAGCCATAGTGGGGCGAGCACGCATCGCGGACCCCGCCACCAGGGTGCAGCTCCACCTGCAGCCCACAGGCGCCGGGTGACCTCCGTGCAGGTAGTTCACGTCCCTAGGTCCCCCGCAGTGGAGTGTGAGCGTTACACGCGTTGTATCACAGAGCTACAGAGGTATGAATCCCTAGGAGGGCAACTGGTGCTTGTATGTATGGCGATGATTTCGTTCCAGCTGTTATTATAACTGTCACAGACAGAAACAGAGGCTGTGACTATACACCAAATCACAAGTTAATTAACAGCTGTGTCAAAGAAGAAGACAATAGAGGTCTAAAACAAAATGCAGCATACTTTAAAGTGGCCTTTAAACGGATGGTCATTCCATTGCACAAGTGACTTGGTAGTTTAGCTGCACTGTTTTGATTGCATTATGTACACAGAGCCCATTATTGATGTTTTCAAGAAACCCCATCCAATAGACACCATATAACTCTATCATCATTCAGTCTAACAGCCTCACACAGTTTCACAAACCAAAGACTGTCCCCTTGAGCAATGCCATATTGATCTGCGGACCAGACAAGGTAAAGCTGATAATTTAGAAGCATCTAAAAATCAGGAGAATTTAGACTTATTTGCTATGATGTTGTGGAAGTTTTAAAATTCATTTGACTACTGTGTCTGCAATATTTCAATTCACTTAAATAATTTATAAAGAATTTCACTGCTATTAGTTTCAGCATAAATCCATGCAGTTAATTCAGGTCCGTAAAGCCTAAACTGAGAATTCCAGAAACTATTACAGATCATTCCACCAACGTATGATAAAAGCTTTAATTTGTGTTTTGGTCTCCTGTTTCTGATTGATAAGAGGAGCTTTAGGTTCACTTTTCTTCTGACATATTTGATATATATTTCCTCTGTGTGGAAAACTCAAGATAATGCTTACATGGGCTGCCTTGCTTAACTGTAAATGCAGAGAAACTTTAAAGCAAATATATCTACTTAGGTGTAGATGGAAAACGCAGTTATGAAAAGGCAGAAATCAGTGAAAAGGAAGGATGGAAGTATAGAGTGGTCAGGGAGAAGAGCCAGAGGCGCCCCGCAGAATGCAGTCGCCCCAAACACCGATTTTATCAGCCGTGGGGAAGTCTGTGGGGAGGGAGGGTAAATAATGGCCCCTCCTGGCTGGGCGCAGGAAGGCTGACCGTGGGGCTTTGGGCCCGACCTGGCGACCGCTTCCTCTTGCAGTCACCCAGCTGGGTGGTTACTCTCCTCACACACACTGGCAGGTGAGCCCACGGGGGCTCAGGAAGGGCAGGTGTTCTGGGCAGTGTGGCATGCAAGGCGCAGGTCAGCTCTGCACTCCATGGGCTGACGAAGCCCCACTTCTTCGGGTTCAGCGTGCACATGTGCAAACTGACTCATGATGTTAAGAATATTCCAGCTCTTGGAGAAAATAATTTTGTATTAGATCTGCCCAGCCCAGGCTGGCAGAGGAAGAGGGCAAGGAAGGAGTGCCTGCGATTCTGCTTCAGGAAGAGACTGAGGAAGCAGGGCCTGTGATGTAGTGAGACCGTCAGCAACCAAGGCTCAGTTGTGTGGGGTGCGAGCCACGGAACTTCTGCCAAGGAACTCCCGTGGCACCACCTGCGCTCACCCCGCCCCGCATTGCCCCGCAGCAGCGAAGGGGCTCACGGCCTGCCCTGCGGGGCCGTCCTCACATCACAGACAACTCTCCACATTCAAACAATTTTGTAAATATTTTCAAATGACAAATCTTCCTCTTTAATAAAGAGCCATTAATGAGCTATTAATTTTCTTCTAAATCCAGGCAAATATGAAGGACATTCAGAAGCAGGGAAAAAAGAGGGAGAAAGAGAAGGAAGCAGGCAGGAGGGGAACATGGGCTGCCTTGCTTAACTGTAAATGCAGAGAAACTTTAAAGCAAATATATCTACTTAGGTGTAGATGGAAAACGCAGTTATGAAAAGGCAGAAATCAGTGAAAAGGAAGGATGGAAGTATAGAGTGGTCAGGGAGAAGAGCCAGAGGCGCCCCGCAGAATGCAGTCGCCCCAAACACCGATTTTATCAGCCGTGGGGAAGTCTGTGGGGAGGGAGGGTAAATAACGGCCCCTCCTGGCTGGGCGCAGGAAGGCTGACCGTGGGGCTTTGGGCCCGACCTGGCGACCGCTTCCTCTTGCAGTCACCCAGCTGGGTGGTTACTCTCCTCACACACACTGGCAGGTGAGCCCACGGGGGCTCAGGAAGGGCAGGTGTTCTGGGCAGTGTGGCATGCAAGGCGCAGGTCAGCTCTGCACTCCATGGGCTGACGAAGCCCCACTTCTTCGGGTTCAGCGTGCACATGTGCAAACTGACTCATGATGTTAAGAATATTCCAGCTCTTGGAGAAAATAATTTTGTATTAGATCTGCCCAGCCCAGGCTGGCAGAGGAAGAGGGCAAGGAAGGAGTGCCTGCGATTCTGCTTCAGGAAGAGACTGAGGAAGCAGGGCCTGTGATGTAGTGAGACCGTCAGCAACCAAGGCTCAGTTGTGTGGGGTGCGAGCCACGGAACTTCTGCCAAGGAACTCCCGTGGCACCACCTGCGCTCACCCCGCCCCGCATTGCCCCGCAGCAGCGAAGGGGCTCACGGCCTGCCCTGCGGGGCCGTCCTCACATCACAGACAACTCTCCACATTCAAACAATTTTGCAAATATTTTCAAATGACAAATCTTCCTCTTTAATAAAGAGCCATTAATGAGCTATTAATTTTCTTCTAAATCCAGGCAAATATGAAGGACATTCAGAAGCAGGGAAAAAAGAGGGAGAAAGAGAAGGAAGCAGGCAGGAGGGGAAGAAGCCAGGCCAGGCAGCTCTCCATCCTGCACCGTCGCCCCTCACTGCCACGCAGGCCCAGCTGCCTGAGTGCACAGCCCACGCCAGTATCTGATCCCTCATCTGCTGCTCAACTAAGAACTTGCCTTCTGTGCACAGCCTGCAAATCTGATAGAAGAGTTGTTACTAATAGACTGTACTGATGAATCCGTGTGTGTGTGTGTGTGTGTGTGTGTGTGTGTGTGTGTGTGTGTGTGTGTGACTAAGTCAAGGCCACGAACCACTGTGGCCTAGGGTTTCATAAATACCTGTCACTTCTGTGACCATGGGATAGGACACAGAACAACAAAAAGCTGTGGTTGAATTACTGGCATTTCTATTTATGTCCAAAAGTATCAGTTAGGATGTGCCAGATTAAGGACACTTAAAAACTGTTCCTCAGGGATAAACTCAAATAGCAGGGAAACAGCCTAACGTGCTCATTTCAGATGCTTGTAAGCAGATTTCCAATGCATTTATCCAGAGACACAAAATGCCACAGCCAAGAAAGACGCGACAGCAAACAGATCGGGGGAGGACTGACAAGACGCCATGCTGAGGAGCACAGGAGACGGTGACACTGGCCTTTCACTGACTTGGTATTAAACTGGAAAATGGAATGGAATTATGATAATTTTGATGTTGTGAAAAAAAATTAGCTTGTTAAGCAGGATAAATCCAGACACATATCAAACCACCTAATACACATCAGGAAATGGAACGAGCCCCGGTTCTCATCTGGTTTGATATGGAATTATTTATCAGTACAGTTTTCAGCGAATTGTGCCACTTTGACATCATAAAGCCCAAGTGAAGGGATTGCAATGAGCACCACTTACTTATCCTGTCATTGTCTCATAAACTAAGAAAAAAAATGTTCCATTAAAGCAAGAAAACCAATCTGAATGTCCACCTTTGGTGGAATTTACACAGCACGTCCTCATCCAATGATCCCACATGCGGAAAATGAAGTGTCAGCACAAGGTGGCTGCACAAAGGGTTTTAACTGTGGATTTTGTCAAGACTGAATAGTAATGTGACCATGACTTCAGAGTTAAACCCCCGTTTTCTTGTTTTTAGAACTTGTGGATGCCAACTGCTCTATTTTTTACTTTCTGTGCATGATAAACCAGCAAAAGTGTTAACAGTTTCAGAATACAGTGACCGTTCTAAGGGATCCTGTAGTCCCTCCCGGGCTTCTAGATGGCCAGACGCCACCAGGGCGGCAATGTTAGTTCCATGGTTTTAAATATAAAAGGCACTGGCAGAGCAGAACACGCTCAGTGGCTTTTCCGCTAGTGGGGCCTTCAGAGAGGCTCAGAGGAGCAGAGACAGAGTGTTGATCAGGCTTAGGCCAAAGCAACTGAAAGAGCTGGGATTTCTGCCTGGCTAAACTCAGAGCCCAGAACAAGAGCAACCATGGCGTACGCTGCCCATGCTCAAGTACCACCCGCCAGCAACAGGACACACCTGCCCCCAAGGCAGGATGGAGGGGATGGCGGCCGCGGAGCGCATGGCCAGCCATGCGAGACAAAAGTGGCTTCACATGATGCCAGAACAGCTGATCCTTCTTCCTGTTTGATCGAACTGCTGATGGATCACAGACGTGGTGGGGAAGCAGAACTGATCAAAACGGTTACTGACTAAAATGGCAGCCGCTGAACTGATGGACTGGACAATCCCTTAGGCCATCCCATGCATATCCGTTGTATGGAAAGAGGCAAATGTCTCAATAAAACCCTCCATGAGTGAAAACAGCAATCCTTTTCCTCGGGAAAAGGCGACGCTGCCTCACACGCTGGTGAGCGTGTCCCTCGGGGTCAGCCGGAGGAGCTGGGTCATGGTGCTGGCCAGCTCAACAGTCGTCACCGCCTGGAGCAGTCAGATGCCACGCTGGCAGGCCGGGCAACAGGCCTGGAGCTCCACATACCTGACACAGCATTTGAAGTAATAAAGAAACTAACTTCAAAAATCTTAAAACAGAACTCATTTTTAAGAAAAATTTGGAAGAGGAGTATCAATTATTTTTTGGGAATTCACTTCAAAGTTTTAACTTATCATGGTTTTCATACCCAAACATCCTATCTCTACTTCCAATTTGTCAAAACCTCATGATTTTTACTTTTTTTTTTAGCAAAGCAATTTATGTTACATATATAGCATTTACAAGGATCTTATGAAAAACCTTTGTGCATTTTGGATCTTATTTCCATTAAAAGTGTTCTTCTGTAAATAGGAGAAATGACTCCATCATCCAAAATACTGGAGATGCTAGGTAAAAATTATTTTGCAGAATTACTTTCCCCATCTGGCCAGCGATGCGGGAGCAGAGCATCTAGGGGCAGAGCACAGAGACGTCACTGTAACAACTCGACGTCCACCAAGATTCCCGTCCGCCGAGATGGAGAACCACAGTGCAAACGGTCCTTTTCCTTGGGATACAGCGTTCCAAGTGTAAGCAGATAGAATCCACAGCAGACCTGAGTTCTCTTTATGTTCTGGGTGAACAAGCTTCCCATGAGGCCCATTTCTTGATGGACTTCCAGGGATACTGCTTATCACATTGTTTGAAATTGTTCCCCAAAGCTCAGGGCAGAGCAAGGGCAGCCAGAAAACCCCCTCTACACACACGCATGCAGACGCCCAGAGCAGGCGATCAGGTGGCCCGGGGAGGTGGGCAGCACAGCAACGGGCTTGAGTGCATGTTTCTTGGGAAGGACTGGTCAGGCCCCCCTGCCCCATGTTCATATCGTAAACTACCTGCCACCCGACGCCCTCCCTGGCCTGAAGGAGGAGGGGTCTTTTTACTCTTATCTTCCAACTTGGTCACCAAGATCGTCCTAACAGCAGTTTTCCAGGTAAAACATCTATTGGGTCATTAGTAGAAATGGATTTTTCCCCTCCTCTAGACGTGCTCCACCAGGAAAGGAGGAGCCGCTTCCTGGGTTGTATTTACATGAAATGTTCCAGAACCAGCCCCAGGTTTGGTGCAAGAGGGAGCAGTCGGGACTGGAAGAGGGGAGAAATGATAATCAAAGAGATGGTGGCCATCCTGCTATGGTCCTTTCTGTTTCATTTTGTTTTGATTTTTAGTTAGAAACTTCTTGGGGGCTTGAACTTAAAAGTGCAGATTGTTGGGTTTCAAACCCAAACGTACTTCCACAGGACATCCGGGGGGTACTCTGAGGTCTGCCTGTGACGTGGGTGGTTCTGGGCGGCACCTGCTGACAGAAGCAGGTGAGGTTCTGGGAGAGGCAAGAACCTAGGATGGCGGCAGTGCTGTGGGCAGCAACGGGTCAGACGGAACCTGCCCGAAACAGACCGAGTGAGGGGAGCGGAGGGGGATGGGTCTGGGTTTGGACTGAGTCTGAGACACCTTCAGATGGCCCCGGTGGAAACACGTCGCACCCGCTGAAAATGTGGTCGGCCCCTGAGAGCAAGACTATGGCTGCCTTCCGGCCCCTGTCCACAGGACAGTGGGCACTATGGGGTGGTGGGTGGACAAGGGAGAAGAGGCGGAGATCGACCAAGGCTAGGGACAGACAGAACTAATTCACTGAAGGGTTCCCAAAAGCCTGGTGTGGGGTCAGAGGTTAGGCAGTAAAGTTTTCTCTGAATCTGCAAAGTGCTACAGTTATTCACACCCCAGAAAGTATTCCTGGCTGAGACAGAAAATTCCCAAATATCTACCATGTCAGGGGACCCACCTCCACTTACATGCCTCTTCCCTAAATTTATAGCTTCATGGTTAGAAGTGATTATAAAAACTTATCACAGGCAAGCCTGGTACATTTCTTACAGGTTATCTACAGGAAATTATTCCAGGGCATTAACTACATCTATTCTGACAAGCTGGGGAGAGTATATTTCGCATGTGTTTAGTATGTAAGACACAAAGTTTCTTTTCACCTTTTCTTCAAGATGCTTTTTAAAACTCAGTACTATGCAATATCAAATATTTTAAAGACTTAAGCCATTTACTTCTAATATTTCATAAATTTCTTTTTTTCATTTTGGCTTTTCTTCAAGTAAATATTTTGTTTAGGTTCATAGATCATGAACATGAAGTCAGGAAATGCAACTGATTCTTTCTCCCAAATTATTTGCTTGCATATTGGTCTATGACTGATCAACATAAAGAAATAAGCTAAAATACAGAGACTTCTCAAATCATGGATCAGTCAGTTTTGGAAACTACATTAGTATTTATGTGGACCGTGTGTCTGCCCATGGGTGTCTGGCCCCCATGGCTGACCCAGGCCCTGCGCGTCCCCCGTGGTGCTCTGCTGAGCAGGTGGGCCCTGCCCTCCGCACGCCACATCCTGCAGCAGCTGCCGTCCTGGGCACATGTTCTGTAGGCAAAAGCTCTCAAAATTCAAAGCAAAATATGATCTTCTAGGGCAATGGTTTCCATTTTTGCTTATGTTCATTCATCAGTCAACTAATATTTATTTAGTACACGATTCCTCAGGTGCTGTGTCCTAGGCCATTCAGTGACTAGAGTATTTGGTACACCTGTCACAGTGTGTGCTTTTCAGAAAATCAAGGGGAATTTTTTCTTCTGGGGAAAGAAATTTCTTGTGCAGAAAATCCAAATTAGCAAACCAAAAGTGCAAAGGAAATTGTAAGGCAGATGGGGGAATGCATGGGGGGACCCCCAGTGATACGGAACAGGCGTTTCTGAAAAAGGCCAGAATTAAGTTTCAGTGTGCATGACAATTCAAGTGATGAATTATTAAGGTGGATGATCTGAAAGTTCGTAACTAAAAATTTAAAAATGCCATTTTCTTAAACCTAAATCAATACAATTACAAGTTTACAGAATAATAAAGTGCGTCATCACCTGGAAAAGCCTTAAAACATTGTTCAAAAGAAACAACCACCACCGAGCTGCAGAGACAGATGCTAAAAGGTGGCATTATAAATATAGATATTGATAACCGCATCAGGGAGGCAGCAATGCGCACTTCACGTGCCTCTTAGATTGTCATTTAGCTCATTTAATTTGCTGTGGTAAGAGCTGCATGGCTGAACTGATTTTTCAAGTAACTTTCTGGTCTTGACGTTACTCTGTTGAAGCTTTACTTGAACCTGGAAGAAACTTTCATTTAAAGACAGTTATGGCATCAGAATAAGGCATATTTTTTTAAACAGCTGAGTTCTTTTCAAAGACAGATTAAAACATTGCATTTGTAGGAACTGAACACTTGTCACTCACCATAGCCAACGGGCAGCCCGATCTTCCAGGTGCAGTCCAGGTTGTTGGGGTACACACCCGGGAAGCCTGGGCTCAGGATCACGCCCCCCATGCTGCTCAGGGCCCCTCCGCACGTGGCTGTAAGTGGATAAGGGCAGTTAGCTGGGTGGGTCGGGCTTTCTCCTAAGGAGGCTTAACTTCAGCTGCTCAACTGACTGTCTTCTCTATTTACAGCACATGCACAATGCTGTGAACTTCAGTTATTTAAGGGGTTAGTTCTCCCTTGAGGCTCAACTGCTTAAGAACAAGGACTGTCTTTGAAAATGTACCTGCTTCTGGTACACAGGGGCTCCTGGTCATCCTTTTAATGCAGTCCAGCCAGGCACCCCTGCGTTAGGTTACGAGCTGCTACTACTGGGGGGTGTGCTAGTTACCACAGTCGGCTGCCAACTCTGTAATGCCTACTGGGCTGGGCATCACTTAATTCTCGCTACAAGCAGCAAAAGGGCATCATTATTGCCACCATTAGGTACACTCAATTCCTGCCTCCTGCTGGAAAATTCCTTCCCTGCCAGACCCTTTCTTAAATAGCATATTTTGAGAGTTAGTGGCAAATATGGCATCTGTAAAGAACATGGTGTTTATTGTTATGAAACAGCTAGGACCCTTACATTATACTGGACTTATATATCTTATTTTGTGCAGATTCCTGATTTTTTTAGTCAAAACATATATGAGCTTTACTGGAGGGCACCAGCCTCGCCCTGCTGGAGGGAGGGGCCTTGTGGGGAGGGGACACCCACTCACCAGCTGGCAGGGCCCCAGCAAAGGTGTTTCGTGTGAAGCTCAAAATACTTAGTATCAGTTAAGCTCTGAGAATTAGGGCTGAAGCTCAGTACCCTGTACAGAAATGTTCCGATAACTGTGTTCATTAGTAGTAGTATTTTTGTTAAATTAGGACTTGATATTCAAATACCTAATAAATAAAATACTTTGTCACTATGGATTTCTGGTACTAAAATCCCCCAGCTTGGATTAAAGATAACAGCTGAAAAATAAAAATAAAAAACAGCCCTTTCCATCTCTCAGATCGCTCTTTGACATCTGCTGGGGGCTGTTGGTGAGCTTTCCGGTGAAGCACCTTTCCAGACAGCGTGTAGAGGAGAAGGAGGAGCAGGTGTCACGGGAGTGGATGGAACTTTGACACTTGCTAATACACAAGATGTGTTAAATAAAAGATAAAGATCAACTATATTTGGCTAATATAGGGTAACTATTCAAATAAAACATTTCCTCATGTAACAGAGGGTCTCGGCAATGACGTATTACTTGACTGAATACCTGTTTTGGGTTGATTTTATTTCCAAGTTTAAAATACTTCAATTCCCGAGTTTAAGGGGAAGTTCCTCACTTAAAGACAAACAGGAAGGTTGATGTTCTGTGTAAGTCCCCAGTACGCAGGCAGGCAGGAGACCCTGGAGCAGGCAGGTCCTGGTCTCCCTTTTCTTACAGTCTTTCCAATCAAGCTGGGATTTAAAATCTCTTGCAAATAACTTTAATTTTTTAGGTCACCTGGTAGTTAGACATTATTTCTTCCAAGAAACTACTTGCATGAAAAAATACACTGGTCACTAAGGAGCATGTTTCACTTGTAAACAAATAGGACACGGTGACAGGAACACGGTGAATGTGGGAGAGGAAGGCAGAGAGTTCCAGGCTAAACCGAGAAGGCCTGCGGGTGAGCGCACGGCACGGGGAGACGGCGGTGCAGAGGCTGCGTGCGGACGCGCTGGTTGCTTCCTGACGTACGTGAATGTTCAGTCACTATGTTGGGCACCTCAAACTGTTGAAATAGTGCATATCAGCTACACTTCAATAAACAAGGCTATGGATCTCAAAGCTGAGGTGTTAGAGGTGAGAATCCCAGCCGGGGTGCAGTCAGGTGTGGGGCTGACGAGGGCAAGCGGCCCTTTGGATCTTGAGGGGCAGAGAGCAGTCCTGGGAATGTCTGGGTTTAGACAGAAAAGGTGGGCGATCTCGGCAGTGGAGGAGGAAGGGGACTCGGGAGGGAGCCGGTGTGCGGAAGGCAAGAGGCACGTGGGCTGTACAGGTAAGGGGAGCGCCTGATGCCACTGCGGCCACCTGAGCTGTGAGGACAGGTGGGCGTCAAGACACACACAGGGTGGCAGGTGTGGCTCTGGGCCTGCATCACGGGAAGGACACGCAAGTTCACGGAAGGATGGCCAGGCCCCTGACGGCTCCAGGCCTTCCCAGAAGGGGCCGAGTGAAGGCCACCTGCTGGGCCCACAGGCTCGTCAGCACCTCACTGTTAGTCCACAGGGAAGTCTGTGGGGCCCAGGGTGCAGGTTCCCTTCTCAAATGCGGGGCCAGGGGCGCTTTTCCACAAACAGGCAGGCTGAACCGGAGTCCTAAAGAGCACCTCCGCCAGGGTGCTACCTTTCTGTTTCCTCTAGGAAATACCATCCCTCCATCTTCAAATCACTTATTTGTATTTCTGAATTCTGTTTCCGGAAATGTGACTTTCCTGAGGAGAAATGCCTCACAGTGTGCTGCTCAGACCTTGACAACAGCTGTGTTCCTTCCTGCCCACAGACCAAGCACTGGCTCTGACACAGATGTCACCTGAGGTCAGTGCCCCGAGCTAGGAATCCTGCATTCAATCGTGCAGGGGGGCCAAAGAGGAGGGGGAAGCTGAGTCCTACATCTGCTGGGAGAAGAGGCATGCTCCACCTTTGTTAGGTCTGTGGTGTACCATGGTGTTAGCATTACACAGCAGGCATTTTGAAAAGCACTTAGAAACGCCTCATTGGAAGCCCAAAAGAGTTTCATAAGATTGCCATTGCACGCTCCACACGTGTGTGCAGAGCTGCACGGGGATGGAAGGCGTGTTCATACCGATGCAAAGGGGAGATGGGTAGTTCCAGCGGCGAACAGTTCCTGGCATACACGAGATGTGGGAGCGGCCCTGTTTCAAAGGATAAAATAAAACTCACATAACTGAAAATAGAGTATTTCGGGATTAAATGTTTGCGGTAATATCTGTGCTTATTGGTTTCCTTTCTCTTTTTGGATTTAATTACAAAATTACAAATGCACAAAACCCAGAAGTTGTGAAATCTATTCTAATGTTTTCTATTGAATCACATATTTTGAATTCAAAGAAATCCATACTCTGTTTCACTAAAAACAAAATTGTGCCATGTCTCTTTCAGCAGTCTCAGGCTCCCTTCTTAATTCTTTGTTTTGTTTTATTACTGGAGTTTAGAGCTTTTGGTTGGAGAGGCTAAAGGATTGGGCAATAGGAGGCACTGCTGTGAAGGGTGAAATGTCAGCAGCGGCCATCTCCTTATGGAAAGCTCACCCTGTGTCATCCAGGCTCACACACGAGTCCCAGGGCCATTACACTTCAGCAAAGAACTGGGTCAGGTCCTCCTTCATCGGAGACAAAGGAGACTTGACATTCACTTTATTATCACACAGTCTCACAGGCTATCAAATTAATGTGCCTGCAATGAAATTAATCCTCATCGCTCGGATCTCTTTATCCTTTAAATATAGGAAGTTTTCAACTTTTAACCTTCAAGTAATCTGTCCTATTATTCCTCTTTTAAAAATCAAATGGCAGTGGGTTAAATTCTGAGATGCTGTATGCTAAAATGTGTCTTATAATGAAAGAGAAGATGGCAAAGGGTACCTCTGTGTGCAGACAATTCATGTCCATGTTTTTCCTCATTGTGATTTGGGGGTCTTATCTGCCATGCATACTTATCTTGCGAATTTCCATTTGCCACCCACAACTGGCAGAGAAGCAATTGAAAAACAAATCTTTAAGTCACATTAAATCGTCTCAGCAATGCAGGGAGCGCATCAAATAAGCCTTTTCACGGATGCAGTCGTCAACGACAAACAGGTCCCTAGGCTTAGAAACAGCTCATGCCACAAAATTCATTTCTCATATTTCCTGATATTTTAAAAAGTTGTTACAATAAAGGGAAGACTTTTTTATCCCTAAAGAAGGTGTTCTAGAGAATGCTTTTCCTGCTGAAGTTCATGCTCTCTGTGTACCATTTTCCAAGCCATTAAATGATCTTTTGTAAATTTCTTTCTGAATTAGGGATTAACATTAAGTGTAAAAGCTTTTAAAGATACTTGCTGATGACTACCAATAAAACCAAACAGTCATTTATGACCAATCTAGGTCATATTGTTATTGATTTTGGCACAAAAGTTTCATATTAGTGATTTCAGCTGAAGTTTTATGTTGTATCCAAAATAAGTATTTGTTTACTATTGTATTTACTTGTGTATTTATTTGCTAGTTTAAAACTGGAACTTCATTTTATCACTTACTAAGAGAACACTAAAAGAAGTCTGGGGAAGATGGTGATCATCAATCGCTCGAATATTCAGAATTTACTCACCACATGCCATGCCACAGTGCTGTCAGACCATGTCCTGCGAATCGGTGGGTGTATGCATTTATATAGATGTTTGTGTGTAAAGTATACCAGGAATGAAACTTTCATAAATAATATGTAATTCATGCATGCTGTCATTCCAAATATATTAATGTGTTAGCAAAATTGTTGATTGTAGTAATTAAAAAAAAAAACCAGAACTCCTTTATCACTCAAAGCTTGACCCTGTCTTTAATGTAGAAAAAAATAGCTTAGTTTGCGTTTGAAAAAGAGCTAGTAAGTGGTCTGATTTGGCTCCACAGATGTGTGTCCACAGGCCTTTGTCTAAGCAGCATACTAAGCGATTCATGGTAGGAAGGTCCTTAGGAAATGGTCCCCTCTAGCTTCTCGGAGGCTGCAGAAGCTGCCTTACAAAGGCACGCTCGCCGTGGCTGCAGGGTGGCATCGGGCCGAGTGGAGAGGGGGTGACCACGCAGAGCAGCAGCAAGCATTCGCGTGGGGTCTGGGGGAGGTCACGGACAGCAGGGCGCTCGCACGGAGTAAGTCAATCCCCGATGGACGCACGTAAAGGCAGGCGCCGGGATAGGCCGGGCGTCCGTGCACACGCAGCCCTCGGGGTGCGGCTGGAATTCGTGCCGCCGTCGCAGGTGAGACATGCCTGTGGTGCTTTGCCGTAAGGACTCGGCGGCTGCTGCCCTGGGGGGCTGGGCCAGAAGCCTGCCACCACGGATCACGGGAGACCAGGCAGGGGTCCTTGGGAAGGCCGCTCCCTCGCAGGGCCCCGGCCAGCCCCGGGGGCGGTCACCATGCGCCCCAGCGTCTTCACACCCTGATGCCCATTTACAACAAAAGCAATGACGGTTTCCATTTGCCAAGGTGTGTGGGTCTTTTATAGACAGTTGCTCTAAACCTGAGACCTGGGCGAGCTCGTACACGTGGACCCGCCGAGCACCCGGGCCCACAGCCCCGACACTGCTCCCTGGCGCCCCCGTCCGGCTGCCCGAGGAGGGGGTCTGCGGGGCGCTGGCCAGGCACCCGGCGGCCGTCGCCGCTCCCCGGCTGCCGCTGGGACTTGTCTCGGTTCCGCAGGACACCGACCCCAGCCCGTGCGCAGAACCTGGCGCATCCGCCACGGCGTCAGCTCACTGCCGCCCCACCCGGCGTCTCCCTGTGCTACTCAGGCTCTTTTTCAGCCAAAGAACAAACTAACGAAAACCCTCCTTAAAATGCAAACAGCTTGCACACCGTAATAAACACACAGCGAAAAGTACTACTCTATTACCTGAAATAACTGGAGAGAGACACACGAGCAGACTTAACCATTTCTACTGGACTTCATGATATGTATACTTAGATGATGAATATGTGCAGGGAGAAATAGAGCAGGATTATGGCATCATCGCTCGGATCTCTTTATCCTTTAAATATAGGAAGTTTTCAACTTTTAACCTTCAAGTAATCTGTCCTATTATTCCTCTTTTAAAAATCCAATCTTTTAAAAATTAAAAAGCAGCATTATGGCAAGTGACAGAGGGGACCTACTCTGGGAGGAGCTTACCATTAAACCACAAAATGCATATGATGGACGTTGCTACATTCAGGTTATAAAAAATGCTTGCTAAAACTTTTATCTAAAAAACTATCAAAAGATGGCAAAGACTTACTACTTCTTGAAAACGAATTAAAGTCAGTTGTTTGAGCACTTCATTTACCCAGTGCAGAGCAGGCACTTGATGGTGACTTACTGAAGTGGATCGTGAGATGCCTATGCAGACGGGACATGCCCACAGCCCAGCAGGTGCTGTCACTGGGCTGTCAGGACAGGCCCTTCCAAGAAGCTGTTGATACTCTGTCCCTTAGAATTTTATCTGCATAGTTACTGGGAGAATAAACATTTTGAAACAAAATAATTATGAAAATAAAATGATCAACTTTGAAGGAGTACTTTCTCACTGAGAAGCCACTTCTCCATCAAAATTAAAATGACTAGCATGCACGATTTAACCTGATGAAACTGATTCACAAAGAGAGTAAGAGGAACTAGATTAGAGCTCCAGGTGCGAATGTGGGGTCTGGGCTTACATGAGCTGGCCCAGGACGCCTGTGTCCAGCCCCCCCATCACCCAGACCCCCGAGGAGGCACCTGCAGCGTGTAGCCGGGCTCGCACTGGAAGGACAGCACGTCGTTCACCAGGTAGCGCGTTCCAACCTTCACGCCGTTGCTGGGAGGGGCTGGTTCGGGGCATGCAGCCAGGCCGACAGCTGGGGAGGTGCAAAGACAGATTCTCAGAGAGTGTATAATATAAGCAATATTCTCTTCATTTGAATAGCAAAGTGGTTTTTTCCTATTGCTCTCCTACTGTAGAAACGAACAAAGACTTTTAACTCTTACCCTTGGTATTTTACCAAGAAGACTTTAGCTAACTTTAAATCAATTACTAGCTAATTCTTAATTTATTTCATTTTCATCATGCAGTAAATCAAGGAGGTTTTTGAATATAAGATTCATTACTTATTAAATATTAAACACTATTAATTCCAAAGCATACACGTTTTCAGAGGTCCTTTAAAAATGATGCTCCCTGTTATATGCAAAGCCCATGATATTGCCCTCCTGATTTGTTTTGCAAGAATACTTGGCAGTCTTTTTGAAAAATCTGTGTCAGTCTGGGAATTCTATCTTCCAGGAAAACATAATAATAGAACAAATATTTATATTCTTTCTTTCTCTGTCTTTCTCATTTAAAGACAACAAACAAAAAAGGTCTTACGACCAGTCTGCGCTTAGGTAAACAGGACCAATGTTCATAGGTCATAAAACTGTAATCAGGTACTTTCTGATGGAATTCCCTGTAGATAAGGCATTAACAATGAAAAAAAAAGCATCATATATATTGGAATCCACCTATAGCATCTGATGAATTAATGCTAAGCGCAAACTGACACTGACACACACTGGTATGAACTGTCACAGGAACAGACATGCTGCCATGGTGTGTTACAGAATCAACACATCGGGTGCGAAGCGTGCTCAAGGTTAGTTGATTTCAAATACTGCGTTTTGGGACTACAAAGATGACTGCCATTCCCATGACGGCCTGTCACGCCGGCGTCTCCTCGCGCCTGGGTCACCAAGTGCTATTGGCTCAGCATATACCACAGGCTACAGAACAGGCTGCACAGCCAAAGCAGGTAAGTGGCTGAAATGATCCTCTACAGATATTTGCTGAGCCACAGGACCGGAGCCCAAGTATGTTCCAGACACCGCCTTTCTCTCTTACGGTAAGCCATCTGCCTACAGCACTAACGGTGACCCAAGTCACAGGAGACAGTGGACTTGTGTCATGAGGAGGGACTTTCATTTTTGGGTCCAGGAAACTGACTCCAGAGAGGGGAAGCCCAAGGGCATGCCAGGCGCAGACCCAAAAACCTGCTGGGTCAGAAGCACAATACCAGGCAGAGGGTGAGAACAGAGCCACACAGAGGTATCCCTGTCGTTAAGGAGCGGGGCCAAAACCTCCCCCAAGATCAGCCCGGCCCACTGTGGACCACTCAGGATAGCCGGAGAGGAGGCGAGTCAGCCCTGGGAACACCAGTGAGGAGGTGAGGAGACATGTTAGCACCTTAGCAGGCAAGACGACTGACTTGACAACTGTTACAGGTGAGGAGGTGGACTGAGGAATTTTGGGTAAGGAAAAAGGGTGACATTATTTGCATTTAGTCATTAGGCTAATCAAAATGTGAAAAAGAAGATGTGGCAAGAAGCAGGTTGGGTGGTGTAAGACAGTAAATCTAAACTGGAATGAAGGACAATTTAAGTCCATCAATGGATACGTCATTCTCTGGAAAATCTGAGAACATTCCTTAACAAATCCCCTTTTAGAGCAGAGTTTTAGAAAATGTTTCAGTTGAGTGAAATTGATACTTAATGGTTCAAATCATGGGTGGCATTTTGGCCATGTGACAGACCAAACTGCAAAGCCAGTCAATTAAAGATATTTTTTTAGACACAAGAATAGACACAGAGGAAAACAGATACATATACAATAGCTGTTTTAAAGATTTCCTAAAGTGAAATAGTCAAACACAACAATCTGATAGATAGGAAAATCCACAATCAATTTTTCAGAAGTAGTAACAACTGGAAAGTAAACTGCGACATTGTAGGACAAAATTTTTGTAGAATTCTAGTTCTTTCAAAACCTGGCATGCTAATATTCCATTATAAGACAGCAAGTGCTACCAAGCAAAGCAGGGTGCACACACTCTCATTCTGAATCACGAGGTATCCTGCTTAAATATGAGGATGATGGGATGGTGATGACTGTGCATACTAGAGGGTCAGACCTACTGCCATGAGGAAACAGGACCGGCACAAACATCTTATATATCACGGTGGTTATGCTATATAATTCATAGACGTATATCCTGGTCATTTCAAATGTAAAAATTTGGGGCATTTAGGAAGTAGCAGAAGAAGTTTTTATTCCCCATGCCTGGAAGAGCAAAGAATATAAAACAAAGCCATTAAAAAGATGAGTGACCTGATTTGACCAAATATACAGTTTAATGGCTCTGCCTACCACTGATCATCAAATGTTAAAGTTCTGAATCAGAATATAGCAATTAGTCTCATCTGGTCTATGGAATTTATTGTAGCAACTCAGGCTTGTAAAATTCAGGGAACAGCCTGCTGCTATCTTGAAAATGACAATTATTTTGAAACACATGCTATCCGTGTGATTTTTGTCAAATATGTAGAGCAGGATGAACAGGATGTTGTAGATATATTTGAAGTAATTTTGAACATTTTTTTTCTCAACTTAGCATTGTCCTTATTTTGAGTGGCATAGTGTATGGTTTTCAAATTTCACAACTCAAAAAAAAATGTCATTCTAACCAGAGAGCTCAAAACAATAAGGAAGATAAAAGCCAAAACGAGGAAAGCAGACTAAATGGAAAGATAATGAGAGCTAGATTATTTCGGGAGTGAAAACTCAAAGACCATATATGCAGATACACAAGCATTCAGTACACAGGTCAAGCACAGACACTAGAGGGAATATTACTTTTGAAAAGAAAGCTATTACTTTTGAAAAGAAAAAAAATGTTGGGCACATTGTTTACTGTAATTGACATAATAAGCATTCTTTTGCACAAAACTAGCAGATAAAGCTCTATCTTTCTTTACATACATAGAGGTATGGTACACCATAAGACAGAGTGTTATTGATAACCTCTGCAGACCCATAAATCAAAAACTGCATTAAAGGTCAGACAATGTTTTGGAAATAGGTGAATAAAGAAATGAAAAATTCATTTAGGGAGACATTATGGGAGACTGACATTAGACAAAATGGATGTCAAATGCCATGATCACACAGACATAAATACACACGGGTCACCCTGTACACTTGCCCTTATACTACACTGTTTAATGCATCAATACATCTTCATGACAGCAAAGGGAATCTATAGAGAAAACTCCACTAATAAAACAGTATCCTAGGTAAAGACAGTACATTTTTGTTCCTTGTCAAAGAAGTGTAGCATGTATGTGAAGCTAAACATACTTTCTCGTATCTGTAAACTGTTGGGAGGTTTGGTCCACAAAATAAATGCTATTTCTATCCCTTCCATTTAGTAGATCATAAGTATCTTCGAAGCATAAAAGATTGCGTATCCAGTGTCAGGAGAGGTTGATAGCATAAATCTGGGGGAGGTAGAATATTGTATCTCTCTCAAGGATTTGCAAAGTATATTCATATATTATAAATGAAGAACCAAAATCCTGCATTGATGAATCTTCTTCAAGTTTACTTAACCCAAGATTTCCAAAATTTATCGGCTCACAGGATCATTTTGGTCTGTGTGCCGCCTGTGAACATCGCAGGGCAGAGGTGCTCTGCGGAACACGGAGAAACACTGGTCTCGTCCAGTACCCGCACTCATGGAAGAGGGCATGTCATTAATCCAAGGTCACAAAACCAGGACATGGCAAAGCCTCTCTACACAACCAGGCCTCCTGAACTTCAGTGACTCACCGATCTCAGCACCACACAGCAGAGCCCTGGTCATTCAGTAAGGTCAAAATTGTTTCTGGACCATTAGCTGGCTCAGTTTCCCTAATGAAACCACAGACTCTGGTGGGAGAAAACTGCTTCTCCCTTCATCAGCAGCATTACAAGCACAGTGGGTGCTACGGGGAGAAAAATCCCATCTCCTGCCTTCTCTCTGTGGAAGGAAAAAGAACAGTGGGATACACACCCGATGTTCTGACTTTTCAGGCAGTTGCCCAAGGGATTGGTTTTTCGGTCTTGCTTGAAACTGAGGGCTGGTTTGTTGAGGGCCGAGGGCAAGACTGGCTGCCTCTGAGGGTAAAGGTGATATGTGTAGCTTGGTTGAGCGCCAGAATCTGCAGAATCACAAAAAGGTACTAGGAAGAGCTTTGGCACCAGAGAGGCCACAATGCCATAGAAAGATATAAGAGGGACTCCTGATTAGAAATAAGCAACCATCTCCAATAGATTACATGCAGAAACCAGCAAAGACACATCCTCGGAAAGGCTGGAGAGGTCTCCAGAATCCACTTGGGCTGACTGGTCAGAGTCCTCCCCGGACACAGCCAGACTGCACAGTGGGAAAGGGGGCTGATTTTTAAGATGCCAAAGCTCTAATAGAGAATAACAAGGCATACAAAGAAATAGGGAAACGTGGCTCAGTCAAAGGATCAAATCAAATCTCCAGAAGCTTGCCCTAAATAATTGGAGATACAGGCACTGCCAAAGAATTCAAAATAACCCTCAAAAGAATTCTCAATAAATATATGAGAACGCAGAAAACCACCAACCTCAATCAAGAAAAGGATCAATGAACAAAATGAAAAATCAACAAACTATGATGAAGAACCACACAGAGATTTCTGAATTGAAGAAAACACTAACTGAACTGACAAATTCACTGGAGAGTGATCAGGTTTGATCCAGCAGAAGAAAGATAAGCAAACGTGAAGAAAGGTCATTTGAAATTACTGAGTCAGGAGCAAAACCAAAAAAAGAATGGAGAGAAATAAAGACTGCTTCAGGGACTTACAGGAAACCATAAAGTGGAACATATATTATGGGAATCTCAGAAGGAAGGAAAAAGAGAGAAGAGGGCAGAGAGTCTATCTGAACAAACAATGGCTGCAATTGCCCAAATCTGAGGAAAGAAATGGAAATTAAAGAAGCTCACGCATCCCGGTTAGGACAAATCTAAGGAGACCTACACTGGCCCACATTACCACTAACCTGTCAGGCCACAAAGTGAAACACTTTTTCCTCTTGAAAACAGGAAGAGAGAAGCAAACTGTGAAGTACAGGGACACTCCTATTAGATTTCCAGTGTATTTCTCAGCAGAAACTTTGCAGCCTAAAGGGAGTGAAATGATGTATTCAGAGTGCCAAGGGAAAAAAGGTGAAAATCAAGAGTACTGTCCTTCAGAAATGAAGAAGAAAGGAGGACTTTCCTAGGAAAACAAAAGCTGAGGGGGCACACTACCACTAACCTGCCTTAAAAGAAATGCAAAAGGGCATCTTTCGTGTTGAAGTAAAGGAACATTAACAGCAACACAGAACCATGCAAAATCATCAAACTCCCAGGTGAAAGTAAATATGCAGACACATATGGAATCCTGTAGTATTGCATGTAATGCAGGCACATCAGTCACTTTAAAATCTGGTATAGAATTTTAAAAACCAAAGTACAAAAAGCAACTATAAATGTCCGTTAGTGGTATATATTGCAAAAAGAGGTAATTTGTGTCATCAGCAAAGTGGAGGAGAGGGACAGAGATGTAAAGCAGTTGAATTTTTATATGAGATTCAAGTTGGCCATCAGTTTAAAATACATTGTTCTAACTTTAAGGTGCTTTATATAATCACAATGGCAACCACATAGAAAATACTTACTGAGTGCACATGAAGGTGGGTGAGAAAGGAATTATAACGCGTCAGTACACATATCAGGGAAATAAAAAAGAAGGCGGCAAGAGAGGAGAGGGACGAAAAGCTCTAAGATGCACTGGAAACGAATGAAACGGCAATAGTGAGCCTTCCCTATCAGTACTTACGTTGAAAGTCAGTGGATTAAATTCCTAAATTAAAAGGGACAGATTGGCAGAATGGATAAAAAAATAAGGCCCCACTCTCTGCTGTCTGCAAGAACCCACTTTGCATCCAAGGACACACACAGGCTCAGAGTGAAAGGAGGGGCAGGATTTCCCCACAAGACAGGAGGCTGAGGACAGGCATTACCTATCTGTAGCAGGCCAAACGGATTCGAAGACAAAATCTGTCACAGGTGCCAAGATGGACATTTTATAATGAGTAAGGGTCGATTGACCAGGAAGATGTAATGATCATAAATATGTAGGCACCTAACATTGGAACTCATAAATGTCTGAAGGAAATACAGGGAGAAATGGGCACAAACACAGAAAGAGCAGGATCCTTCAATACCCCACTTGCAGTGACAGACAAAACAATGAGGCACATATCGGTAAGGACACAGGAGACTTATTTCAGGGATATACTGCTAATACTCTGAATTTAGAAGCTTGCAGATTAATAATACATATTTTGAGGTGGGTAAGGAAATATGTCAATAGAATAAAAATAGTACATTATCTTTTTGCAACTCCCCACAACAGTCCTACTGCTTGATATTGCCTTTAAGATGATTAATTCTTTGAACACTTTATATAACCTGCATTTTAAACTCTGGACAAAGAATTAGAACAGAAAAATGACTGCCTCTCAGTATATAGGAAGGAGGTAAAGAATGATGTGAACTCTCAGGATGGCATTAGCATCAGAAAACAACCACTCAAAAAAAATGATAAAGATGAAACTACAGCATTATGGTTGGCCAAATAAAAATAAATAAATATAAGAAGTGATTAAGTGAGGACTTCAGTTCTTGAACAAGATTCAGTCTGGTGAGAAATATCTTAGTCTCTCTGTCTTAATGCAGTATATTGGCTGGGAATAAAGTGGGAGACAGACAATTACATCGTTGGAGCTCCGAGCACACGGTTAATTGTACACAATACTAACTATAGGTTGATTACATCCCAGGCACCTCTTTCTATAAGAAATGAGTGAAGTCACAGCCACAGGCTGACTCTGAGAGGAGATCAGAGCACTCATCAATCCTAACAGTGCTAAAAATATTGTTGAATTTATTAACACTGTTCAAATAAGGTTTATAGTTTCCGATCTACAGATGTTCACAAAATGTATCAAAGTATCCATTTTTTCCAGACATTTCCTACATAAATAACATCCACAGTATCATTTCACTCCGTCACCGAAGTAGTCCTATTCAAATGAATTGGAATAAACTTGCATACAAATGCCTGTAATAAGTAGGGAAATTTGACCAGAATGTGAAAACAACCTTGTGGTTTGAGTCTGGTTCAGAATATTTATCAACAGCTGGAAATCTGGCCTTTCAAAAACATGTAGTGCATTTGCATCCCAGCAAACTGTTTACCTGGATTCAAAAGATCACTTACTAAAGCTTATCTATGTATTTGCTTATTTGCAACTGCTTATTAAAGGAGATGAGTATCAACACTGAGTGTTTTTAGTGTTTGAAAACATGTCCTAAAATAAACTTTGCTCTCACTGCAAGTTCTAATTTTGCTTTCACAAGGATTACCTGCACAATCAAATACCCCACATATGTGTGAACCTGACCTTTGCTGACCCATTCATCAGACTGTTAACTCAGCCTTGCACCCACTTTTAAAAGGTCAGCCATTATGTCACAATGCCTTCCCCCAATTAAACTGAACAACACAAGCTGCTCTGAAATGGTGGCTTTTTGCTGGCCCTGTGCTGATGGCCTTTGAGACTAGTAACAGGAATGGCTTTGACCATAATCTATTGGGAAATTATGATTTTGTTCTTGGACGCTGGTATGGATATTCGCCATCACTCACAGACAAGTACTGCTACATGGTTACTTTTCATACTTGGTAACACAGTCCGAATGATGGCAGTAGTTTTACCTGATGATTCCAGACTGCAGCACGGGCAGTCTGAACCTTGGCACTCACTGTGTGACAGTCAGGAGTTCAGCACTCCAGATACTAACGCCTACGTTTCCTCGCTAATCTGTCATTTGTAACATGTATTTCATAGAGATAGTCTTTGGATGACCTCGTTTCACGTGACTTCTCAAACAGTGCTAGGACAGCAGCATTTCACTGCATGGTAAAGGCATGGATTTATTTTTTCTTTTAAGGAACCTGCTTATCATTACAATGGAAGCCGATGCAGAAGCGGTTGGCCTTACTTTTGTATTCCAGGTGAAACCCAGCAGCCGCCACACTGATGTCAGACTGGAAATGTAGGTAGAGCTGATTGGATGTGCTGTTCAGCAGCGCCGGCACCGTGGTACCTGTAAGAAAGAGGGACACGGACCTTCACTGTTAGACATGCACTCAGTTTTCTATACGAACTGCATGGAGAGGCCTGTGCCAGGCTGCAGACACCTCCAGCCTGCCTGACAGCTGCCTCCAACCTGCCTAACGGCCGCCTCTGGCCTCCAACCTGCCTGACGGCTGCCTCCAGCCTCCTGCCTGTCTGACTGCCACCTACTGAACCCTGAGCATTGTTTTCATGGCCCTTCGGGCCTATTTCTCAGGCACAACCAGACAAACCCATCAACCACCTCTGCAAACATATTGGTTATTTCCTGGCACGACCCAAGGCACAGCCTCCCCTGGAAAGGACAGAGCCTTGGACGTGGACTTCACTAAACACACAAGGATGATAAGCAGACTGATCCAGCTACACAAAATATGGAACGCTTAAAGTCCGAGCTGGCCTCTACTTCCACAGCCATCACCACTTTGAACGCCTGCCTAGGCTAATGAAATAGCCATCAAATGCCCTAAAAAATCTTTATTTGCCTTCTCCCTGTACATTGCCCTTTCTGCACACAAAATACTCTTCCCTGAGGTCAGCATATGGAGTCTATCATGGGCTTACAAAGGTGACCCTCAGTCTGAGCACTGACTCACCCAGGAAGTTTGGCATCCATGGCCAGTCAGCACCCAAGTGTTACTGGACCGTGAGAAGGAACAGTGAGAAACGAGGGAAGGAAGGAGAACGCTGCAGTCTGACTGTGTGCCCGCCGGGAGGCACAGGGTAGAGGTGGGGCTCCTGTGGAAGCGGATACCCTGATGGGTGGGGGCTGTGTCTCGGTCCCTTTACCCTGGCTGTTAGGGGGTGGGCTCTGGACACGGGGTCCTTTCAGAACCATCAGTGCACATTCAGTGGAGAAACACCCCCTAGTAGTGCTGAATGATTAACACTTGGAAAATATTTGCAGATTTACCTCCTTTGTTGTTTGGCCTTGTTTTGATAGATGATAGATCAGAGATGGATTTTGTTTCTAACTAACAACTGTGGGGGAAAACGGTGAGGCTACCCTGGTTGGTCGGTGCAAAAACAGATGATCGTTTGAAACTACGTACTAGCAAGTGAAGTGCAGAGATCGGAATGTTGCAAAGTGGGGTGACCTGGCCTGTTTCCAAAAAGAAGAGTCATTCTGAGGAATCCACTCCCCTTCCCCAGTGGGGCACACTCAGGCTTGGAGGAGGCCTTCTGACGGGGAAGGAGGCAAGGAACGTGGGGCATCAGCTGTGCCCGGCCAGCCGACTTGGGGCTCCTTCCAGCTCAATGAGAATGACACAGCCACCAAAAACACTGACTTTTGCCTCTTTCAAATTTTTGTGGTGTTTGCTGCTCTCTTACTGTTGTGTTATTTTTGTATTTTTGCACGTCTGCAGAAAGAACACTGGTTCATGACAGGTGACACATTTTCCTCTGGCATCTGCACTGCTTCCTGCTTGGTGCCCTGTGACAGGTGGGCAGCAGCTCCCCCACTGCGTCCTTCTGCTTGGTGACCCTCAGTCTGTGAGGCCAAGCGGCCCTTCCTTGCTCTCCGCCTCCAAGGCTCAGCCCATGCCCTGCTGGGAACACAGTCCAGCTCCCCTGTCTGGGGACACTGTTCCTAGGTCCTCGTGTGTGATGTCACCCCCGCCACCCACACCTCTTGCTTGGTGAGTGTTCCCAATGCACCCTCTTTGGAGATGAGTCCCTAGCTTACACTCTAACTGACAGTCCCCGTGCCTTGCACAGAAATGTGCACACACAGGCTTTTACAATACACCATTGGACTTTTCTGTCTCTAGTGACTATATTTCCGGGGATCAGAAAACCTACTTGCACTCCTGACTCTGACACAAATTAGTTCCAACACTGAAAACATTTTAGTATGTTCCAATGGTACACAATAAAAACAGTGACAAATCCCTTATATGTGACTGAAACGAGTGGGGTATGAGAGTGCTCTGTGAGCTGTCATGTCCCCTCCCAGTGACGTGAACGGCAGCAAGTAAATGTGTGCAGGGCAGTGCAGGGCATCCCTCGCCATGCAGCGCGGTCATCTGTTCTGCTACAGAAGATGCTGGACGCTCAGATGGCACATGGGATGTGCTGGTGGGCTGGGAGGGCCCTGAGCTGCGGCACCTGGGCCTCGCTTCCACCCCAGGGCCCTTCGCAGAATGGACTACAGAGGCAGCTTATCCCCCCATGCAAAGTGCAGCTCAGAGCTCACCAAGTATTGGCACAGGGAGAATGTGTTTGATCCCATTGTTTACTGGGACCTGGATAGGACAGCACCTGACAAAGAATCCGTGGAGCCTGCACCGCTGTCCCTCCAGTCCCCCTCTGAGCTCACTGGTATCTACTCCCCTGAATACTGACTGTCAGTTACAGACTTGGGTGAATCCCGCTCTGGTTTTATAACCTGCCCACTTCCAAAAATGGTTTTGAATAGCTTACACCATATGTCTTACATACATACACCTCTCCGAATGGAAAAGGAAAACAAAAAACTTGAGTTTAAAAAGTCAACCATTTTTCCTGGAATATGCACCTCCAACAACTATTCTTGTTTGTTTTTACTGAACAACTAACTTAAAACCAGCTCAACAGCTCCCTTATAAATATTTTCAAAGTATCATAGGAATAACACTCTTTAAATATTAGGTTCTTGAAAATATTCAAGTTTTATGGTTGACTTGAGAGTTCTCCCCTATAAAATTAAGAAAAATATTTTTAAATTTTTGATAAATTTTACCTTAAAGAAAAGTTGGAAATTTAGTACAAAAACTCACATATGTCCACTACCTGTTAATTACACAATTATCTCTATAATTCATATATGTATCTGTAAAATTATTTTATTCCAAACCATTGTGAGCAAGCTGCAGATATGATGACCCATTTCTTGTAAAAATTCAGTGTACATTTCTCAATACAGTTCTCAGAAACCCCAATACGGCTGGAAGAGTCCCATCCAATCCAGGGCCTTGTGTGGTTTTCCATAAGCTGTCAGTAACGGCTTTTTTCGCACAAGGACTCCGGACTCCGTCCCTGGCCACTCCGTTGCACCCGACTGCACGTCCCCTCGGCTCCCCTCGGTCTTGAAGGTTTCTAGCCTTTCTGGGCTGAAGAGCAGCTCCACACTTTTGAAAAACATAAGACAGGTGTTCCGTGCAGACTGTTTTTACTTGGGTTTGCCTGTTGCTCCCACGCGTGGATGCAGGCTGTGCATGTATGGCCAGAACCCCAGGGTGAGGTGCTCGGCACTTCCGGGGGCTTCCTGCCTGCTCAGGCGCGAGGGAGCTGCCCCACTCCTGGGCGGCGCCCCCACTCTGCACTTGTGGCATCGTGGCGGCGGCTGCGGAGGGAGTACTCACACACGGGCGCTGCAGTCCTACAACCAGCCGGGCTTTTGCTGGGTGTTTGCTCTGGGTCAGGAAATAAGTGCACCCGACTGCCCATTGCCTATAGCAGGCTGCGGAGGGGCATCTGCTGGCCCTTGCCACTGTGAAATCCCTACTTTCCTCCTCCATGATGAGCGAGGACTCGACAGGGAGATGCGCTGAGCCCGGCAATGCCCACTCTCCCTGCAGTCTCACCTGTAAGTTCTCACACCCACCCATGTCCTCGCCTGGACCATTTGTCATCGAAAGGTGCCAAGCTGTTCTCCATCGCATCTTCCTCCCAGATTTATCAGCTTGCACTGTGCGAAGGGAAGCTTTCCCTTTCCTTCCTGTGTGTATCTGACCAGTGTAGACTCACAGATTTCTTCTTCACACAGATTGGCTCACCACGCACCCCTTTTCCCTGCCAGAGCCTCGGAGTCTCATTTCTCAACGAAACACCGGCTCCTTTAAGAGGAAAGTGGCATTAGAACGACACTAAGAAACCCAGAATCGGGTACCAGGTGGGTTCACTGTTACCCGAGTGGTGGTGCTTCACACCTCAGAGACAGGCGGGGAGTATGTACAGACACACACACACACAGACCTGTCATTTTCGCCTATAGTCACACATACGGAAACCAAGAGCCCACACCGATATCTCTAATTCAAATCCAACATGCCAGGTCCATGCCAGCCTTCCTCATTTCCACTTTCCATCTCCCTTCTCAAATGCTGAGAGACTGGGGGCACGTTCTTCTCGGCACGTTTATGTGTGTTCTTAGTTTCCACATGTGTGCCCACCTCCCAGCCTTACTGGCTGCCGGCTTGTCCAAGATCACCTGCTCGGTTGGTTCCTGACTGCCAACCACCCCAGACTCACCCAGCACACCCTGGGACCCCACACTGCAGTGCCACACGAAGCCCCTCCCTGTGAACACTGACCAGTTCCTACCACTAACTCACGAGTGTGGACTCACACATCTGAAGCAAAGCTCACATATGATCCAATAGAAGGCTTAATACACGGCTGACCCACATCAGCTGACACATACAAATGCATCCGGATGATGGAACTGGTCCCTCAGATGAAAAATGTCAGAACACATAATTGTAGGCAGGCTTGACGGATTCAGTTCATGTGTTCCAAGAGGTGTGTACCGCACACGGACATTAATTCATGTTCTCAGGAAACTTAAGGGTCTAGCAAGTGAGAGAGCACATTATATCAGGAATGAACAATACAGCTCAGATTTTGAGTATATAACACAATCCAGGCACAAGGCCGTATGGTTCTGTGCAGGGGCACTTCTTCTCTCTTTAATTTATCTGCTTATATTTTACTAATCTGTTAAGTTAGTCAAATTCTCTCCAGATATTTTATAAGATCAATTAAGATTTTTAAAAATGGTTTCGCCCAAATCCTGGAGAATATACTACTTTTGAACTTCTTTTAACACCTTGCTTATTTGCCAAAGTTGTGGAGGTTATTTAGGTTAAGTTATGGCATCTCCATATGGGTTTTAAATGGCACTGTTTCTGCTTTTATTCCTCAGCAACAAGCACGTGCTTGGGACCCAGTGGTGCCTGAAAGAACACCCGCGTGCTCAGCTGAGGGTTCTGGCAGTTCTGCTGAGGAGCGAGGCTTCAAAGGCAGAGATGGTGCTGAGGTTAAGCTTGCAGGACAGGAAGGCACGGCTGAGGAAGAAGGTTCCAGAAGACAGAAATCATACAAAGACAGGCCAACACAGATTCCTAGGCTGTGTGAGAAGTAACAAATGCTAGGCTGGCATTTTACTGCACAGAATTAACTGGCCATGTAATAACATCTTTTCATCTGCTGACATCCAGAGACAAGATCCCTGTGTCACTTAGAGAGGTGAGTGACACAGCAAAAGTTGTGACAGAGGCTGTAAATGGCCCGCCCACGATCCAGTTCCTGCTCTCTAGGTAGAAGAGAAAGGTTTGGAGAAGGAATGAAAAGAGTAAAAAAATTGCTAGTGTCCCTTTGCAACAGCGATAAGCAGGTGGCATAAGTCAGGCCAATGAGCTCTAAGGAGCCAGACTCTGAGGGCAGGGCTGTTGGTTTTTTGTGTGATTGGGGACAGTTCTAAAATGTGCATATCTCTGTGCCTTGTCCGTAGCGAGGGCCCTCAACAAGAGTTTTGCTCCCAGGGCTTTCAGGACGCCGGCAGGTCGGCCCTGTAGGTGCTCGGCAGTGCTGCGCGCCAGAACAGCTGTTGGCCTGGGGCCCTAGGCGTGGCACACACACGGGTGGGCAGGCAGCACAGCCTGCCCGAACTGAGCAGAGGTGCGAGGGGGCAAACGTGCTCATGTGCAGTGTCAGGGGAATTGCCGAGCGTGTCCTGAGAGGAATGCCTGTGGCGGCTGGAGGCAGAAGGAAGAAGAAAGGACTGCACTGCAGGTGACTCCAATGCCACACCAGGCACTGGAGGGCAAGTGGCACCTGCTGTAAAGGGCTGAGATTTTGGGCAGCTCTGAAGATCAAAGAGCTGCAAGCTCAGGCCTAAATGCCCCAAATGCAGAGTGGAATCTTCCCGGAGTGCTTGCTCGTCTGTCCTCAAGAGCAGAGAACGGCTGCCTAACGCCTGCCTTCACCCCTCCCACCGCCACCCAGGGTCCCGTCCTGCCCGCCTGACTTGCCCTGCACAAACCCTGTGCCCCCGCCCTGCCCTACCCGCCCTCCTGCTAGCCCGAGCAAAGCTGTCCCTTCTCTCGCCTGTTGCAGCGGTCTCTAAGCACCAGAGGAACGATCGTGGCTATGGAAGAGTTTGCAGGAAAATGTGTACCCCAAGTGTTTTGTTGCTGTTGTTCCGTGAGTGTTGATGATTTAGATTCACAGACAAGGGAGTTGGTGCCTCTCACCTGAGAAGCTCCCCAGCCTGGGCGCCGTCATGTCCCCGCCGTCGTGGATCTCCAGAGAGTCCCAGTTCTGCTCCGTGGCGAAGCTGACCACTTGGATCTACCAAACAATAATGATCAGTTAATACTATTTTGGTTTAACCAGATCAGCCTAATCACATGGGGGTTTCCATGAGAGGTAGAATAGGAATGCAGGAGAAAGCTGTGTCCAAAGGGAATAAACCACGAGGACATCTGAAAATGTCTACAAATGGCGCTTCTGGAATTTTCATTCCAAAAATCTATTATTTTTATTCCAAATATAGAAAACGTGATTATAAATACTGTTGAAGTAGTAAGAAAAGAGAAACAGGTTATGATTTTTATTTAAAACAGTCAATCCCAGGAGGGAGGAGGGAAGGAGGAAGAAGGGAGGGGCCCAGGGACCTGGCTCAGCCCTGTTTCTCAGTGGCCTGGCAGGACGGACTTACCTGGATTCCCGATCCCTCTGTCACGATGATTTTCCAGACACAGTTCAAGTTGTTGCCATATGGTTCAGGGTAGCCGGGGGATAAAATCGTGCCTCTGCGCTGAGTGAAATCACCACTGCAGGGCACTGAAAGGCAGACACGTTCAATGCAGATAAAGCAAAGCAAGGGGCACATTGGCTCGGTGCTGGTGTTTCCGGGCTGTGTGATCGGACCCTGTACAGGAACCGGGACCTTTAAGCAGCACTGTCAGCCAAGGTCGAATTTAGTCTGTTCTCTTATAGATTAGCAGTATCACTGATTGTTATTCATTATGCTACTAAGTTATGGATCTTTGTCTAAAAATAAATCTCCTCGAGTTCTCTGGAAAGGGACTGCCCTGACGGTGGCATCTCTGGAGTGAGCTCTGTTTGGAATAATTTATGCAACGACTGAAGGAGCTCTGCAGAGCGGTCTTTTCTGTATGCAGGCAAGCAACTCCAAGTGACATTAGTGGGATTTATGAGCAAATCCAGGGAGGAGGGAGGGAACAGACGCTTCAAATGTGCAAATGAATTCAAGTGCTAATTGTGATTGCACGAGAGGATCTTCCATAAAATGAAGCAAATAAGCTATAACTAACAATGCCATTGTTATTCAGGCTGTATTAACCTATTACTTTTCAAACCTTCATTAGCACAAATTTATTAAAAGGGCATTACACAATATAGCAAATCAACATTATAGTGCTTTTTCCCTAAAATGAAATTAAGTCGCACACGCAGAGCCTGAGTGTTGATGGCATACTCAGTAAGTATGGGGAGGGAAACATGCTTCATCCTTGTTAATCTTATGAGCAGTTTCATGAAACACAAACATGGTTAGGATCTGGTTGCTACTCAACTGTTTCTGATAAAATAAACTGTCCTTAAATGGGTCTGCAGCATGGCCGGTTCATGCAGATTGGGTGTAAATACCATAAAAACACTGTCACATGCATGGACACACACTCACCTATGCAGCTCGGGATCGTGTCATTCCACTGGGCCAGCGCGTTGGGCACAGACTGACAGCGGACAGCCGTGGAGCCGTGAAGCAGGTATCCCGGGTTACACTCGAAGCGAACGATGGAACCTGCTGAGAACTCTGAACCAATCCTCCTTCCGAATCTGGGCTCAGGGACAGAGCTGCACTGGGTCCCACTGGTCCGGGGGACAGCTAGACACAGAACACACAATGCAGCCATCTGTACCTCCACCGGAAGGCCGTGATCCTCCTTGGAAACGGATCTGAGACAGTCCAGCGAGAGCTCAGGTTGATATGGAAATTAATACCACCGTTCTCGGTCTCCACAGGGGAGGATTTAGAAAGCACGTCACATGTGCATTCCATCCTCCTACCGCCCCAAGGATCGCCTCGTATTCTCATTTCAGATGAGGAAAACGCAGCCCAGGGAGACCAGTGCCTCACGAGGACCCAGGGCACTCAGCCCCTTGAAATAAGCTATAAGCAGTTGGCTGCAGTGCTGTTGGTTATGAGATGGCAGAGAACTGGTGCTTCTCCTCAAGTGCCACGGAGGCTGCTGAAGGCCGCTGCACAAAGGCCGGTGTACAGTGTAGCACGGTAACAAACTGAAAACAGCCAGCAAGCTCACTTCTGGACACGTGCCCACTGTGACTGAAGTCGGGATCTCGGAGAGAAATCTGCACTCACATTCTCACGTTCACTGCCACACTATTCATAACAGCTAAACAGCAGAAGCAACCCACGCATCCATGGATGGAAACACGCAATGGAGCATTATTCATGCATCCATCATAGTATACACACAATGGAGTATTATTCACACATCCATTGATGGAACACACAATGGAGTATCATTCAGCCTAAAAAAGGAAGGACAGCCTGCCGATGGAGACGGCATGAAGGTGCCTGGAGGGCATTATCCTAAGTGGATTAAGCCGGTCCCAGGGACAAGCACTGCATACGCGTGGGATCTAAAACAGAAGGCATCGCTGCTCACAGGCCCGTTTCGGCCACACAGGACCAGCAAGTTCCACGATCTGCTGTAAACACCGCATCTCTAGTTGACTGTACTGTGTGCACGCTTAAAAACTGGCTAATTTTTCACAACGACTTAAGTAATTTAACATGAGGTGAAACATCTCATGTTACCATCATAAAAAAACGTATGACGGGAAAACATACAATTCAACTATTCATTCTCTGCGGAAAGCCTTGGGGAGAAACAGGAAGGAAGGATAGCCTGGCCCCCAGGCCGGGCGCCGACCGACGTGACCCGGGCCTCGCACACTCCTGGGTCTTCCCGGGGGGCCGGCCTTCTCCGCAGCGGGGGCTGTAGGGGGGGCAGCATCCTGTCACTTAGTGAGAGGATGTAGAGTGTAAGAGGGCAGGTCTAATATTATACTGTAAGTTTAGAAATGAAAAAAGAAAAACGGATTAAGCAGCGAACAGTGAAGTTTAGTGACATACTCCAGCTTTGGGCGTCCCTCGGCCTGAGGGTGTGAGAACATCAGGACCGGCTGGGACACCTGCCTCCGCGGCTGCCCGGTGCTGAGCTGGGACGTGCTGCCCGTGCCGGCCGCACGCACTCTCCGAGGGCAGAGTGTGCTCAGGCCTGACCGCAGCAGAGCCGGGGACACGGTACAAGCCACAGCACAAAACGGGATTCTCCTCCCGTGACCGAGTCATGTCATCGCCTTTACCGACCACGGCGTTAGCCCCGCTCCATTCTGGGTAAAACAGGATTCCCACCAAGAGAAGGTCAGCGCCTAGTCCGAGGCCACGCCCTCTGCCTCTAACCCCGCCCAGACTCCTCGCGCGAGCCTGAACCCCAGGCCCAGGCCTGCCCGGAACTCCCTGAGACGCCCGGCTCTCTGTGGGCACGGCGGGCGAGCCCCAGCCCAACTGGGCATGGAACGCCTCTCGGGCCGCGCCTCAGAATTCACTGGCTGTAAGGGATTTTTGTGCTTCTCAAAAGGGATATGGGGTACGGTTTGCACGTTGCTTCAACTGGGAAAGAGGTCTGTCAGGCTAAGCCAACTCGGAGAAAGAGAGCCACGAGGTATGGCTTTGTCCTCCGCAGCTAAACATCAGGCTGTGTTCGATGTCTCCAGGACCCCAGCCCCCGTCCTCGGACCTCTTCACTCACAAGTGCAGCCCTCTGCGAGACGTGTTCACTTGTTTAAAAACAAATGCTGTCATCGCCCCGTCTTCTCTGACACACGGGCCGTCACCCTGCCTTCCCTGGCGCACGGGCCGTCACCCCACATTCCCTGGCACACCGGCATCACACTTTCAACTGACTGGAAAGCTGACAGACACCACAAGCATAACTGCGGGTGAGGACCCAGTGCTACCAGAATGGACGTCAGAAGACTATTTTGATTAAACTGCGTTTCAATTTGGTGTTGAAATATTTCCTATCAGAAGGCAAACATTAATAAAAGTGTGTACCATCTAATAGCTATGGTTGAAAATGATACATCAGGATTGCTCTTTTCTGTAGAAGGATAAGGCAGAGTGACTATAATATTCTATTATAATAAAACCTTGCTTAAACTTATATTTGTGATGTTTGTGTCTGAGTTTTTGCTATAGCTGAACAGGCTCATGAGAGCTGAGTAAATAAATGAATGATGCTCCGTGAAGCCTCCACCATCAATTCTCAGGGACTTTGTGCAGAAACGGAGAAATACCTCCACTGGTAATTTTCCCACTTGTCTGAGTCATGTGGCAAGCACGAGCTCTCTGTGGCAAAGACCCCACACTGTACTATCAGTCTCCAACATGGCAGCCTTACTGGTGTTTTCTGGGCTGGCATTTTCACACCAGGTTCCCGTGAATTGGGAGAAAGCAGCAATTATTCTGTATCTCTCAGCAACTGCTGTGAAACCACCCTGCCATCAGTTCCACGGAATGCGAACAGGAACTGGGGGGCCAGGGTCAGCCAGGGCGACTGACCCCTCAGGCCAGCATGTGGTGGCGGTGCAGGGACTGATTACTCTTCTCTGGGGGTGACAATGGGCTCGCGGGCACCCTTCTGCCCCCCAAATGTTCTAAGCCCCAGAGATGCACACACCTTTCTACAGCATCTCTTTTTGGGCAGATAGAGTAAAAGCAGTAATCATGATAAAATAAACGTGAATGCAGGCAGGAGTCACACAACCAGTGACTGCACGTCTAAGTCACAGAGTCTTTTCTGCCTCATTTAGAGACTAAGGGACATTTTCTCTCTCTGTCTCTCAGAATCATTCTGTTTTAGTAGTTGAAAAATCTCATTCGACAAGTTATTACTAGTCAATGAATTCAAATGTATATTGTTGAATTACAAACAAACTTTGTGCTCAATCTTCTTTGCAAAAAGTATTTTATAAGCTCTTGCTACAAAATGTGAGTTTCTTAGAAATGAAAACCAACCAACAGAGCCTTGTAACCTCTGCCATCTAAAGGAAATCCACAAGGCGTCTGTGCGCCCACGAAGGACTCCAAGCTGAGAAAATCTTACCGCAAATTTGTCCTACTCAAACTTAGAAGAAGCATTTCCAGGTTTCTGGTTCTGTTTATTTTATGTTTGTTTTAATACTAAGGAGAGTGAGTCTTGCCTTTGGAAGATCCTGGAAGAGGAAAGCAGAGGCTGGTGGGTCTGGGAGGCAGGTGGTGAGAACCTAGGTGAGCCTCAGCCACCCAGGTGGGGTGACTCAGAAAGACAGAGAGGCAGCCAGGTGATGCCGTGGGGTCTGAGGTAAGTCACGGCTTCCTTACCCCCCTGAAATATCCAGTAAGTCCCACGTGGTTTACTGATCTTGCTGTGAGTAACTTATTTTGAGGGAGCTGAAAGAGGAGTTGAATTCTACCTTGAAACATATCAGAAAAACAGACACTATGTGGAAACAGCCAGGCATAAATGTAAGAATCTAAAAAGCTGAGCGTGCGCATGTTTAAAAGCAAGCACTGGACCTCTCCTGGGTCCTCAGGGAGGCTGCTTATGCAGGAGGGACGCCCCAGGCCCCACAACTGGGGCTGGAAGATCACAGACTCACTTCAGGAGAACCATTAGGTTGCTTCCGTGTGACCAAGTCTCACCGTAACTTCTCCTTCTAGATTCTATTTGACTATCACACAGCCAAGGTGAGTGGCTGCAGAATCAAAGCTGGACATACGGCTGCCCTGTGTGGCTGATGCCTGAGCCACAGGTTGCAAGAGGCGCGCACCTGTCCTGAAAAGTACCGGGAAGCCGGCATCATGGCCCATCTCCAGCCATACGACCCCTTATAACCAATGACCGTGAACGTGCTGCTCTTCTCCCAGGGGACTGTGTCCTGGCGTATTTACTGGACATCACCAAGCAGGCAAACAGCTCCTCACCGGGGCAGTCGGCCCTGTGAAAAGGATGCTGAAAAGCCATGTCCTGCGTCCTGTTATGAAGGGTCACCCCACTCACCTTCTCTGGGGTGCCATGTAGGTCTGACTCACCCTTTCTTCTGCACATTTTTCAAATGTTCCCTTCTACTCCCAACAAAAACCAGCAAAAATACAGGTTAATTAGGATGCTGTGGGAAAAAGAACCTCTACCCTTCCATTTCTTCACAGGACAAGAAGGACAGTGACATCCTCAAGTCGCTGTCTTCCTATTAACGAGGATAACTCGGGGGTGGAGAGCCGAGGGCCAGATGGCCTTCTTGGCCCACCTGGGTCTGGGAAGGGTCTCCTGTGCTCGACACGGATCCGCCTGTCATGGGCACCTCCAACAGTTCTTCACAACAGAACCGCCTGGCTGTGGGCAGGGGGGCTTCTAGCTCCAGAGCAGGAAGGAAGTCCCTGCGCAGCTGCAGAGCCCTAGTAACTCACGGCGGGAGCCGCGGGCCGCGTGTGAGGCGCTACTCAGAGAGTTTTACACAACAGCATTCCAATGGCTCCTAGGCTTCCATCTAACCACTGTGTTCACTTTGACCCTCCATGTGCGCTGACACCTTCCCAAGGGGCTCTTGGGTGATTTATAAATTGCATTCATAATCCCAGTTTTTTCCTCCAAAAGATTTAGCTTTGATAAAAGACACCAATTTTTGCCTAAAGTCACTGTAAGAACAAAGCAAGAGGAGGTGTACTGGAACTTTATACAATTGGGGAATCTTAGAGTAATAATATAATCCTTAAGTACAGGGAAAAATACATCGTCTCTATAAATGATTTTTTCTTTCTATTTTTCTGTATTCTAAACTGGCCACTCACTAACAAAGCCTGCTTAAAAAAAATACAGTTCAAGTATTCACTGTTTAACAAAAAGTATAACTTAGAACAATATAATTTTAACTCAATAGTGTCACCATCCAAGCAAGTGCTACCAAAACTCGGTTAGAGATTTTGTTCCCCCTGCCGGCCTGTGAAACATGTCTGTTCTCACTTTCTTTCCATTACTTTCTATCATCTTAGAGCTGAACACTGAAGGGATTCACACTGAAAATTTCTGAGGGCATGGATTTTTCAGTGTAAGATTATTAGAAATGATTTCTAAGTGACACGACAGATTGTTATTCTCCATAACTTTTTGAAAGACATGTTGTTGTCAAGTAGGTTTTCCGGAGAAGCCTTTATTACAGGAAATCAACTGTTGCTAGTGATTCTCCTGCGGTTTGAATTAAGTTATTTAAGAGTGGCCACTAATCCCTCTACCCTCAAGCAAAACTGAGATTATGAAAATCACGTGTCTTATTTTTGAGTACACAATTCAGCTCTGAAGACAATGCTCTCTGCACATCTACGTCCTTAGCTTACGGACCCCAGCATACGCTCTGCACCTTCGGAAGTGTATGATGGTTTATACAGCAGGTGTTCAAGTTCATGTAATGAATATAGTGAGGCGCTACTCAGAGAGTTTTACACAACAGCATTCCAATGGCTCCTAGGCTTCCATCTAACCACTGTGTTCACTTTGACCCTCCATGTGCGCTGACACCTTCCCAAGGGGCTCTTGGGTGATTTATAAATTGCATTCATAATCCCAGTTTTTTCCTCCAAAAGATTTAGCTTTGATAAAAGACACCAATTTTTGCCTAAAGTCACTGTAAGAACAAAGCAAGAGGAGGTGTACTGGAACTTTATACAATTGGGGAATCTTAGAGTAATAATATAATCCTTAAGTACAGGGAAAAATACATCGTCTCTATAAATGATTTTTTCTTTCTATTTTTCTGTATTCTAAACTGGCCACTCACTAACAAAGCCTGCTTAAAAAAAATACAGTTCAAGTATTCACTGTTTAACAAAAAGTATAACTTAGAACAATATAATTTTAACTCAATAGTGTCACCATCCAAGCAAGTGCTACCAAAACTCGGTTAGAGATTTTGTTCCCCCTGCCGGCCTGTGAAACATGTCTGTTCTCACTTTCTTTCCATTACTTTCTATCATCTTAGAGCTGAACACTGAAGGGATTCACACTGAAAATTTCTGAGGGCATGGATTTTGCAGTGTAAGATTATTAGAAATGATTTCTAAGTGACACGACAGATTGTTATTCTCCATAACTTTTTGAAAGACATGTTGTTGTCAAGTAGGTTTTCCGGAGAAGCCTTTATTACAGGAAATCAACTGTTGCTAGTGATTCTCCTGCGGTTTGAATTAAGTTATTTAAGAGTGGCCACTAATCCCTCTACCCTCAAGCAAAACTGAGATTATGAAAATCACGTGTCTTATTTTTGAGTACACAATTCAGCTCTGAAGACAATGCTCTCTGCACATCTACGTCCTTAGCTTACGGACCCCAGCATACGCTCTGCACCTTCGGAAGTGTATGATGGTTTATACAGCAGGTGTTCAAGTTCATGTAATGAATATACAAAGTTAAGGGGAACTACGATTAGGAAAAAAATCTTCATTTTTCAGAAACTTTGAGCAAGTTCAAACATTTTGAATATGCTCCAAATTCAGAAATAAAAATCAAGGTGCCAAGCACAAAAGTTAATAGAACACAAACAAAATGAATTAAGTATTTTGAGCCGTACAGGCCTGTGTGGCATTTCACATTCTGTTTGGTTTTGTTAAATTACCTGTTTATTTAGTTTTTACAATAAGACTTGGAATTGTATAAAGTGCTTTAAATTTATTTCATTAAACCATTATGAAATATTTTACCTAATGAGATGTAATATTATTACATTTGTAATCATTTTGCAAAATATGCAGTGCTAAACAAAGGTAATCTGAGCACTAGCTGCTTCCTGACAATGCAGATAAATGAGGTATGATGATGCCTTTGTAGTAGAAATATCATATTTAAGTGTGGAAAGACAAACTTTAATATTTTTGTTAAATAATTTTATGGTAAGTATATGAATCCTTACAATTTCTTAGACATAAAAACAATGTGACCCAGATATTTTTAGTGCTCCATCTGAGACAGCGTACGTGCTGTGAAGCCCGGGACCAAAGAAACGTGCAGGGCGACAAGTACCTTGATAGACGAAGTGAAATCCCCGGGCAGACGCGCCGCTCTTCGCGCTGAACCGCAGCAGAATTTGATTGGACGAGGCCAAGGGCAAAGTTTCCCCTGGGGGTGAAAACCAGAGACCATGTATGGGATCCGTAAACACACAGCATGGTGCCAGACAGTATTTTGGAAAATAGTTATTAACGTGGAATGTCACATTTAATATCTTAACTTTTGTAAGACTTCTCTTTGGGGTTCAGGACACAGACACATTGTTTCTATCAAGATTTTAAAACTCTTTCCCTGCCTGCACATCTATGGAAATGTGGTTTCACTCGTTACCTCATTTACCTTTCTGTTGGGGGGAGTCACCGGTGAGCAGGCCTGTTAGCTGATGACGTGGGAAATATAAGAACTAGGTGAATCGCTGACTTAGAATCAACTTTATTGGATAAATACTTGCTGGTATTTTACTTAAAATTAGGACAATGTCTCTGAATCTAGAACTGATTTTAAAAAGTTAAAACACTCCGAAAAAACCTTGGAGAATATAGTTTTCTGAAGTATGCGTACAATACCGGAGGGCCTCTCGGTACTGCCTCGGGGTGCGTGAATGGCATAAGCTCTTCAGAGGTGAGTTTGTCAATGTGTATCAATAGCTTAAATGTGCACTTTCTGATGAATTTCTAGACATTAAGAAAATAACAGGGCAAAGGCCTTACAACCTTTAGTTAACAATAGTGAGAAAGTGGAAATAAGCAAATTTGAAACTTCGTTGGTAAAAGTCTAAGATGCAGGCAGATGACTTTACTGCCCTTTGGCAAATGATGAAAACATAACAGTGGTACAAACCTTGCACAATCTGTACAAGGTAAAAAGCCATAATAAAATGGGTTGATAAAATAAACTGTTAATTTAATCCAACTGAATACTATTCAGCACTAAATTAATTACATTTGATGTGCATTTATATTTTTTGATAGGGAGAGTCCTCTACATGTGATTTTAAATGAAAGTATGGGATAAAGATTAAGTTGTCAAATACCCTCTGTGTTGTGCAGTGCCACATATGTTTACATGCATATACATGTTCAACATGCATGTATGTATGGGTATGTACACATGCAGCTGTACACATGTGTGGATGTGATGGGTCTCTGTTTGTATTTAAGGGTTTGGAATAATTTATACCAAAATGTTAATAGCATAAACCTCCAGGAAGACAACACATAGAACAGAAAATAAAATATATTAAATAGTTTATTATACTTTTTATCCTGACAGTTTCCTTTTTTATAGAGATGGGTATTATACTTCCCACAATCTTAGTAAGCAAAATGATAAAGGTAGGCAGTTTTATATGTGAGATAAAAATACATTTGACATTTCACATCAAAAGTAAACAAACAAGCAAATTCATGATTAAATTTCTACACACACACACACACACACACACACACACACACACACGCACACACACACACACACACACACCTCATCCCGGCTATCTAAATACAATCAAAGACGAACTCATTGGACAGGTACCTGAGTGAGAGCCAGACAGGGAGCTGAGGAGTCTGGCCTGCGAGTGGGTCCCGTCGAACAGCTCTGCCAAGTCATTCAAGGCCGTCTGGAAATAGGCAAACTGCCCAAACACCACTGCAAAATAGGGAGTGGAGGCGGGGGCCACACATGCTTTTAAAAATAAAGAAGTAGAGACTGCAGTTGTACTGTGTATCTACTGATTCTTCCAGAAGATCATCATCCTAAGAATTCTGTAAAAAAATTTACTGACTTATTTTCTCTGCTTTCTAGGTTTTCAGTTGCTTGAAAAATTTTATTTTGCTTCTTGACCTGCTGATATTTAATACAATGAATAAATGAATAAAATGACTATTTACTGTGTAGTTCGAATATGAAAATATTTTAAAAATACACCATAAAGCTGCCCTATTATTTAAGAGCAGTTCATGACTTTTTATTCAATGCATAATGGATGTAAAAGCATGCTGATTTCATGAGGAATTAAATATTCTTCACCTATGTTTATTATAATGCCAAATTCATAGGAACTGATTGCAATTTGTATCAGCAATATATTATAGGAACTGCTTATTATAATTCCACCATATAATTTCATTTATTGTATAGGTTATTTAAATTGCAAGAACACACTTCCTCCAAGTAAAACATAGCTAAGTATTTTACTGCTTCACATTCATTCAACATGGGGTCTTTAGAATACTTGGAAAAAACTTGTAGTTTAGTATCTATTTACAAGCAGTGAGCAACTAATATTTATGTGTAAGGTTTAACTAAAATCATTCTAAGTCACCCTGAACAAGAAATGGAAGGTATGTGTATCAATTAGATATGTCAGATTCCTAATGAAAGAATTAATGTAAGTGTTGGCAAAATAAAAAGAAATCTAACTAACAGTCTAGGTGTGTGTCTGTGTGATTCTATTGTGTTATATATGTGGTGTATATTCTATTACACATATACAAATGCATGCATGTATAACATAATCACATATATGTAATAACATATGCACACAATAGATACATGTTGTATTTTAACATTTTATGATTTCCTAGAGAGAAACAGAGCTAAAGGAAGCCTGTGAACTAGGAAGATTTTCCCAATGGGTGAAGAGCTCTAAAAAACAGAATTAGAAAGAGGGAGAGAACTTCCCAATTTGTGCACAGATCTGGCATATACGATTCTTCCTTCCCAATCCCTCGCCTAATAATTAAATCCTGTTGGAGCAGAAGGCGGGTCATTTCAACAGCACAGAAGGAACCATGCACACGTAACGGCTACCTTTTCTTAGGAAACGTTTAGAAAGCACTGACTGTGTGGCAGACACTAAAGACATCGGGGTGGAAACGCCATCCAGGGTGGCCGCACGCTAACATGTGTGTCCCGGTCCGGACACAGACTCGAGCGCGGGGGTCAGCAGAGGAGGGGCTGCGTCTGTCGGCTGCTGGGCTGAGTATGACCTACCGCGGATTCTGCCCCAAAACCAGCAGGTGCCTGCGGAGAGCCATCACTGGCTGGACGTGTGAGGGGGACGTGAGCGCGGCGGGGGCCGCTGTTCCCAGCCAGCGGGAAGGGGTGCTTCTGGGTGGGGGGCTCGTTCTCGCTGGTCAGTGAGGAACGAGAACGCGGACCCTTCCGTGTAAAGACGGAACACGAGGGGCATCTCAGCAGGCAAACATGAAGAGCAAACTTGTGGAGGTGAGAATCGTGGCAAAACGTGTGGCCTGGCAGGCATCCGGGTGTATCGGGAGGGGTCGGGATGGGGCCACAGGCTGCGGCAGCGGGGAGGGCGCCCGCTGAGGGGCCGGGGCGCAGGGCTCCTCCGCGGGCGAAGCAGCGCACGAGAGATGCTCAGCGCGCGCCCCCGGGGCCCCGTCCGGCCTGGACGGGCGCTTCTGCGCCGCCTCTGCACAAGCCCCGGGGGCCGGGTCTGCACACCTCCCTCTGGAGCCTGCTCACCAGAGCAGCCGCTTCCGGCCCAGGGACGACACCCACCCCTTGGCATTTGCTGGGCGTCTCAGGGGCACAGACTACATTCTATTCATCCTGGACTTAACACAACTGTTCAATTACCTTATTTTCCAGGAGAAAATAGGAAGAGGAGAAGGCAGTAAAAGATAAGGCAGTAAAAATGTTCATCAAGTTTTCTGTACAACTATTTTGTTCCATATTAATGTTTTCTGCCCAGATAGAATATGATAAATGTATATCATTAAGCATTTCAGATTGGGAAATCATGATCAATATTTAGGATAAAGGTGTGACATTTTTCTGCTGAAAAATCATAATTATATTGTGACAATACAATAAAAATTTTTAATAAACTAAAATAATAGAATGATTGCTATATTCCATTGTGACAAATATATCCTGTCATGTATCCATGAATAAAAATAAAAGGAGTATTCATACTTAAACAAAAAGAAAGTAATTGGAGGAATGTTGTTTAAGATAACTGAACAAGTTGCATGATATAGTTTGTGAAGGGCCTGTAATGTAGAATTCGTAAGGGTGAACAAAGGGCTTGGTGGGAAGTTCCATTAGATTTTTAAGAGGCCTGTGAATAACAAATAGCAGAAATTCATAAAAATTTTGTGTCTCCCATATGCAAGTTTCTCACCCACTGATTAACTTTTTGTCATATAACTGTATTTTTTAAATGTTTTCCCTCCAATAGATTCTAACATAAGGATTTTTATCTGCCTGAATTCTACAAGTGGGTGGCTGTTATTTTGAATGTAAAAAAAGAAAAAAAAAACCTTGACTACATAGGGCTTTAAATTTTACTACTGGAAAGACAGGAACTGTTCTGTGAAGTTATGAAAGCTAGTGTTTGGCTTCCTGTGGAAAAGGATCCAACACAAAAGGAATTTCCTCCGGAAGAGTGAGACTGGAGATGCGGGAGCCCAGACTGGGTGAGCCGAGGCGGGCCCCAGGGAAGGCTCTGCTAGAAAGGAGGCTGTTCCAGAGAGCTGCTCAGACTGGAGGCAAAGTCGAGCAGGGAAAGCTGGAAGTTAGGCTTGGTTTTGAGGGTCACACAGGAGTCTGCCTGCTTCAACACCTCCAACCACTCAAAGGCGTGTTCCCTGACCCAGCCACATCCACCGTGACCTCAGGGCTCGGTGCAAGGGCCAGCCACGCTCACACTGTGCACAGTGCCCTGACCCAAACACTTTCTAACAAAAATAAGAACAAATGCAAATTTAAGTCTCGGGTTCCTCGGGATCAGAATCCTAGAAGGAAATGTAAACATGATACAGCACATGGATGAAAGAATTACAGTGGATATTATACAGTATGTTTGGAAAACCTGTGTCTTTAAGACAATTCATATTCTACTGTATTATTTTATCAAGAGTGGGGATATTTGTTTATAAAACGGTAGAAAAATTAACACTGAGAGAAATACGACAATGAATTAAAAATAAAAAGAAGTTCTTACCAAACTCCTGTGGTACAGTTATGGAATACAGGCATATCTGACCGGCTGTGTAATTATGAGGGTAGTTTGGTGACAGAACGACCCCTTCCGATCCAGTGTGCTGTCCTCCGCAGGGAGCTGAAAGATATCAACCACCAACAGCAGTGTGCCGCACGGTCCCCATACCGCGCACGGCAGGCGAACCAGACGCGAAACACGCTAAGTGAGCAGCATGCACAGGCCCTCAAAAACCTCACAGAATGGTACAGCTAAAAACCTATTTCACGTTGCCATCAAAGGGGAAAGGAAAAGCAAAGCAAAGATTTACTGGTTACTATAAAAGTAACTCAACTTAGGAGGAAAACCTAATAGTATTTTTAGGACTGCCGTCAGACACACTAAAATAATAATGAAAAAAGCTATAAAAAAATAACACCCACAGGTTCGGTAAAGATGGTTTCTTCAGTTACTTTAAGTCTTACCAGAATTTTCTAATTGACATCAACTATCATATTGGCTTATGAGAAACAAAGATTATTTCAGTTTTCTATTGTTTCTACATTACTTTAGGACTGAAAGAAAAAATGTTAGCTTTTTAACTTTTTGTTGGTGTTTTAACTTTCATCTCATACATTTTTATTCCGTTCCAGACTAATGCACATCATTACTAATGTGTCTGGGGTGGCTTTCTGTAGGTTCAATTTAAAGCTGAATGAATTCATATCAAGGTAGTTAGGGTGGACATAATGGGGGGTATTACACACTGCTCAGTGTGTGTGTGTTTGTGCCCTCCCTCCAATTATCCTAGTTACCTTGGCATTGATCTTGCTGTGAAAATAGCAAAAGACTGCAGCATGGATGATCAAAATTTAATAAGCATCTTAAAACAGACATCATCCAATGAAGTCCCCCTCTGGCGACATCCAGCTTTTGAACTGAACTGCCAATACTCTGCTCATTTTTCAGTGAGGAGGAGGCACAGGACCCCACAGAGCTACGGCTGGGACAGGGAGCCCCTGGCCGCCCTGGCCAGGCCACGGCACTGCTGATCTTAGGGCACCTCCACTGACTTGAACTCAGGATCATTTTCAGAATTTGAGAATGTTTATATTTCTATAGCTTATTTCTTCTTGGTAAGACAGTTTTCACACACTAAAAAAAGGACAGAAACCAGAGATAACACTTCAATCTTATGAATGTTAAATAACACACCATAAAGTCCTGAGGGACAGAACATTTCCACGAATAATTAAAGCTCTTTAGAACATGTTGATGCCAACGTCAAAGTGTTAGGCAGAAACAGATACGAGCAGGTGGAAGAATGGGACAGTAAAGCCCACTTAAAAGGGACTCAAAGAGTTCACCAGATAAAACCAGAGAGCCAGCGAGGACTCACAGAGTTAGTGAGTCAATCAGCTGAAGATCCAAAGAACAGGAGTGACTTGGAATGGCCAGATACTCCCCAGATAAAGAAACGTATCCCGTGTCTTCACTGTATCAATTAGATTATGCCATTGTAAAACCTCAGCTTATTCTTTAACTCAACAAATATGCTGTTTTCTTCCCTCCTCCTCCAGCCCCTAAGCTAGTCACTTTGTAACCAGGGCAGGAGACAGACTTCAGAAGTGTACATAAGCCGTGTGGACAAAGAATGCTGAAGGCCTGAACCCACAGTCCCCTAAATAACCCTGTTCTTAAGACAAAAAGGAATGATGAGTCACCGGTGTACATCATGCCTTAGGCTGACCCTTACCAAAAAGAGCCGTCTAAAACCCCAGGCCCCAAACCCTTAAGCACACCTCCTCCTCTCTGAGGTTGCCTGCACTCAGCATTCATGGGGTGCGTCACTCTGTGTCACTCCAGGTGAGCAGGGAGGGGCTCCTGAGAGCTCCGATCCGGGCCTGCAAGTTCCCGTCTCCTGGGCGACCAGGACGGCACTGCGGCTGCGCGATCACACTCCTTAGCAGCCTGCCTGAAAATCTCCCCTCTTTGCTTGGGGAAGTTCTCAGAACATAACCTCACTCCATCCAGGGCTCTGCGGCTCCCCCAAGTCCTGGGCTGGGCGGGGGCTTAGCTCCCACGCTGCGCAGATGCTAGTGGACACTGGGCGCCAGGTGGTCCTGGCTTCGGGAGTAGCCAAGGGGCCATGGCCTTAGGCGGAGCCGCAGCTCAAAGGGCTTCCCCTCCCCTCCTCTCCGCCTCCCCCAAGCGGACCCGCCTCTGCCGGCCTGGGCCCCGGCCCGCCCCCCCTCGGAGGGCACAGCGAGAACGCACTCTGCTCCGCCCCCGTGCTTCTGCCCTTCAGTTCTCTGCAGCAGCGGCACCAGGACGGAGGACAGACTCAGCCCCCCGGGAAAAGCGTCTTGTTAAGGATTTGTCAGATTTCCTAAGTCGCGTGTTCCAATGGCTTGGAAACTGAAGGCATGATCTCAAAGTCAGAGGAAAACAGCTTCGATCTATTTATGACCAGTTACTAGGGATTTTACTTAACCAAACTAAGTGTGGTCTTCATGCTGATGTCTTAATTCAGAATAATTTTATCATTTTAGAACACTTATGTTGACTTTTGACAATTTTAAATATGGTAATTTATTTTCACTTTTTGAAGGAGGCATTTTCCCTAAGTTAAACTCCCAAGCAGAAAGTTTTTAATGAAATAGTGGGAGTTTCACTTCATCCATAGAAATTCAACCTGATTATTTCAGAACTATGTTTTTTTTCCCCTTAAAATTCTAAAGTTCAAATTTTTAAAAGTATGTACAAATAAAGAATGGGAATTTATTTTCTTTAAGTCATACAAAGTTTAGGCAGATCATGCAAACAGCCCCTTTCCACCTTCAAAATTCCTCTAGCTCAGATTTTGAGTGAGTGTAAATGAAACGTGCACATATATCATCAAAGGGCTCACATTTGGATGCCCGGACTACCAGGCAGAAATCTTATCAAGGATACCTTCTGATACGTTTATTAAAGTGTACCTACAAAGACTGATTTTCTCCAGTATGGTTGAAAGAGCATTATTTTATGATAAAAGAAAATACTAAAAAGAGAAGCAGTGAAAGAAACACGGCCGGGCAGTAGAGGCCCTTGATAGCCTTGATGAAGCGTGCTATGCCCAGATGCCCTCCTCGGACATCACAGAGAAGCCCCAGCCGCTTACAGCTCCACCACCACACACTTGTGAAAATGACAAAAATATGTAGAGAATTTTACTTAATGCTTAATAATTATTCTGCCTGTGGTGCTTGTGTTAATCTAAGATGTAAGTTCATGTGGCCCTTCTCATGTTAGGAATTCTTTTATATTAATGTGACAACAGAAAAAATGGGCTTACTGTTTGGTAATTAACACATTAAACAGAGTATCTTCAAATGAATGAAGACTCAGAACAGCACTCACTGCAGACAGTAACAGAAAACTTATTCATCCATCAGGCTAACTGGAATGTTTATCTTGTATGTAAAGGTGACAAAAGACAGTCAAAGCAAATGGAAACCATCGGCACAGGGGGGGCAGAAACTGCTCTGGCCCAAGAAAGGGGCTCTGGGCTGTTTCAGCTGTGGTGCTAAATCTGCAGCAAATTTCAATGAACAGAAACTGCAGAAAACAGATGAATATCCAAAAAAAAATCATTGTCATGTTTTTCAAACAAACTAGCCCAAATGCACTGGCTGTACCCTATAATACATGAACTGTTAAAATGCCTGAAGTATAGCAAAAGTATGATCGGCCGTCGGGATGACCCACAGACGTCGGCTCATGCACAGAATGTGCTGCTCCCCGGGACAGAGCCCACATCGGCTACAGGAGAAGCCGCTTCTGGTTCAATGACTTGGAATTCTGAGTTGCACATAAATGTAAATGAATAGCATAAAGAAAAATTCATGTGCTATGCCCTTCAATGACCGGGAAATGAAACTGAGCTTGACTTCGCAAGGGTTCAGATATAGAAAGAGGAACCAGCTCTAATTTAAGATTTGATTGTATGTCTATTGCCCAAATTGGACTTTTTAAAATGTTTATTCTATGGCTAAAGAATTTACCACTGTTCCCCAAGTTGTGTTTGAAGGTTTTGTATCCCCAATATTATTATTTAACCAAAGTCTAAAATTCATTATCTTTTCCTAAATTTAGAAGAGAAGGAAACAGAGAGAGAGAGAGAGAGAGAGACAGAAAGGCAGCGAGACAGAGAGGAAAGTGCCCCCCGAGGTTGTTGATTAGAACCTCTTCCATAAGTCGGGCTTAGAACGCACAACAGAAGTTAAAAATGCCCAACTATGTGACAGAAAAATAACACCCCTTCCAGAAAACTAAGAGAAGGGCTAATGCCCAGTCAATCCAGTGATGGAGGGACGTTAAGCCCTTAGCGGGCAGCAGCCCGGGAGCCCGGCTCACCACCGACGGGAGGCAGGCAGTAGCGGCGGGACGGGGGCCCCACCTACCATTGCAGGAGGGCAGGACCCGGTCCCAGGCGGGCTTCCCGTCGGCTCCGATCACACACGTGATAGAGGAGGGGTCGGCGATCTTGTAGCCAGAGTCACACTGGTAGGTCACAGTCGAGCCGAGCTTGAGGTCCGTCCCAATTCTTGTCCCGTTCATTATATTTCCAGGGTCAAAACAGGCTTCCCGTGGTTTCTCTGTAGGATAAATGAATATAAACTCCATGAGGACAGGAACCTTAAGGTTTTGTTTCACTAGTTATCAAACACTTATTTTCTCTTGGTGGCCAGACTAGTGCACAGCATGTGGGAAATCCTCAAAAAACATTTACTGATTGAATAATGGACAAGCTAACCGTCAGTTTAATAACTGCATATCATAGAAATGATTATCAGGTTAATCATCTACTTAATAAAGAAATACAGAAAAACAAGAAAAACTTTTTAATAAAATTGTATCACCTATGTTTAAACAAAAATCCACATTTTAGGACAGAACTGATATTGAGTTACTTTCATCTAGGTTAACATACTGCAGAATTATAGTTTTATATATCTGTCTTTTTTTTTTCAGCTACGGACTTCAAGCAATGAACAAAATAAACTGATTCTGGAAAAACTGAGTTTCATCTTCTGACTTTTGTACTTAAAAATCAGTCATATGAAATCACAGCACATCTTAGGAAGAGACGGGAGAATCTGGGCTCTCAAAACAAGAGGTTTAATTCATCTAAGTTAATAGCAATTTCTTACACAGTAATAGATACACATACAATAATGAAAATGGGAAAATAAACAGAAGGAAGGTCTGGCTCTCCAGCTTGCTCACGAATCAGCGTGACCATCAGCAGGAAGCCCATGTGTTGGCGGACGAGGGTCCGGCCCTGCCTCTGGAGTGCAGCCGCCACCCAGCGGTCCGGGCAGGGTGAGTCCAGCCCGAGTGAGCAGACAGGCTGAGCTGGTGCCCCGTGCACTTACCTCCGACCTCCGCTGCCCCTCGGCCAGGGAGGGATGTAAGCACTGCTTTAAATTTTGAGCATCCAAAGCTCAAGAAAAATTAAATGACTCTGAAAACCTGTCTTTTCCCAACAATATATACAAAACTTTCTTTTTTCTTTCACAGCCGTGCAACTTTACTTAATTCCACTTATCTTTTCGCAGCCCTAATATTTTAACTGAGGTATCATAGATCTACAATCTTATGAAGATTTCATCCCATATTGTCAAGACCCCCCCATACCCCATTACAGTCACTGTCCATCAGTGTAGGTAGATGCTAGAGACACTACTTGTCTTCTCTGTGCTGTACTGACTTCCCCGTGCCCCCCTATATTATGTGTGCTAATCACAATACCTCTTAATTCCCTTCTCTCTCCCCGCACCAACCTGCCCTTCCCCACCCCTCCTCTTCGGTAACCACTGGTCCCTTCTTGGAGTCTGTGATTCTGCTGCTATTTTGTTCCTTCAGTTTTGCTTGTTGTTATACTTCACAAATAAAGGAAATCTTTTGGTACCTGTCTTTCTCCACCTGGCCTATTTCACTGAGCATAATACCCTCCAGCTCCATCCATGTTGTTGCAAATGGTAGGATTTGCTTTCTTCTTATGGCTGAATAATATTCCACTGAGTATATGTACCACCTCTTCTTTATCCATTCATCTGCTGATGGACACTTAGGTTGCCTCCATATCTTGGCTATTGTAAATACTGCAGCGATAAACACAGGGGTGCATATATCTTTTTAAATCAGGGATCTTGTTTTCTTCAGGTCAATTCCTAGGAGTGGAATTCCTGGGTCAAATGGTATTTTTATTTTTAGTTTTTTGAGGAACCTCCATTTGCTTTCTACAATGGTTGGACTATTTTTACATTCCCACCAGCAGTGTAGGAGGGTTCCCCTTTCTCCACATCCTCACAAGCATTTGTTGTTGCTTGTCTTTTGGAGGTTGGCCATCCTAACTGGTGTGAGGTGATATCTCATTGTGTTTTTAATTAACATTTCCCTGATAATTAGTGATGTGGAGCATCTTTTCATGTGTCTGTTGGCCATCTGTATTTCTTCTTTGGAGGTGTGTCTGTTCAGCTCCTCTGCCCATTTTTTAAGTGGGTTATTTGCTTTTTGGGTGTTGAGGCTATGAGTTCTTTACATATTTTGGATGTTAAACCCTTATCGGATATGTCATTTATGAATATATTCTCCCATACTGTAGGATGCCTTTTTGTTCTGCTGATTGTTTCCTTTGCTGTACAGAAGTTTTTAGTTTGATGTAATCCCATTTGTTGAGTTTTGCTTTTGTTTCCCTTACTCGAGGAAATGCATTCAGGAAAAAGTTGCTCATGTTTATATTCAAGAGATTTTTGCTTATGTTTTCATCTAAAAGAGTTTTATGGTTTCATGACTTATATTCAGGTCTTTGATCCATTTCAAGTTTACTTTTGTGTATGGAGTTAGACAGTGATCCAGTTTCATTCTCTTACATGTGGCTGTCCAATTTTTCCAATACCATTTGTTGAAGAGGCTGTCATTTCCCCATTGTATATCCATGGGTCCTTTATCATATATTAATTGGCCGTATATGCTTGGGTTTATATCTGGGTTCTCTATACTGTTCCACTGATCTATGGGTCTGTTCTTGGGCCAGTACCAAATTGTCCTGATTACTGTGGCTTTGTAGTAGAGCTTGAAGTTGGGGAGCATAATGCCCCCAGCTTTATTCTTCCTTCTTAGGATTGCTTTGGCTATTTGGGGTCTTTTATGGTTCCATATGAATTTTAGAATCATTTGTTCTAGTTTGTTGAAGAATTTGCAGCCTTCATATTTAAATATTATTATTTCAACAGCAACAGAAATATCATTATTTCTTCTGTGAATCAGCATCAGCCAGAGATCTCTTTGGCACTGTTGACATAATCTATTATAAGAATGTATTATACTATTTTATTTACAAACTCTGGTTAAAAATGCAATATATAAAAATAAGCAGTTTTATTATACATATTATATATACAATTTTATACATATACAATGACATACATGATCTTATATGTATTACATATGACTATTCCAAAGTATCTGTAAATGATATATACATATACATATCTGTATGTGTTGTTTTAACTGCTCTTTGCTTATGCATGCACTGTTCTTTATGCCATGATCAAAGCTCCTGTGATGTCAGAGGGCTCTGGAACTGAATTTTATGGATCTTCAAGGGATTGACATAGAAGTAATCTGAAATTTTTTAGCTGAAGGTTATAAAAATACAACTTGGCTTGTGTGTGTGAGTGTGAATGTGTGGGCGAGAGGGCATGAATGAGTGTGACTGTGAGTGTATGCATTTGTGAATGGGGTCACCGGTATCCTCACAGACTGAAGGACCATGTGATGCGTAGACACGTGTGCCTTTGCTCTTTTCCCTTGGGCCTGACAACCTTTTCCCTGGAGGAAGTTCACAGAGCCCACTGCTAACCACACATATAAAAAAGGTCTCTGAATTCTGTTTTATTGTTGGCTGGACTAATGCTGATCATGTTGCTTACGTTTTCCTTGTGGACCATATACCCATCGTTTATCAGTAGCTCTGCCCCGCAGTGTCAGGAGGCTTTCTTGGGCCACGGAGGCTACGGAGGACACGCCCTCTGGGAGACCCGCACAGGCCGTCTGCTTCGGGGCAGATGATGTGCACGAGGGGAGCACGAGGGGGCTCTGGAAGCTCTGCAGGGAGAGGAGAGGCCTTTCTGGCTGCTTACTCAGTATTGCCTACGAGTCCTTAATTATCTGTGAATCAGCCTCAGCCAGAGATCTCTTTGGCACTGCTGACATAATCTATTATAAGAACGTTTTATACTATTTTATTTACAAATTCTGGTTAAAAATGCAATATATAAAAATAAGCAGTTTTATTATACATATAATATATTACATATATAATGACATATACATGATCTTATACGTATTACATATGACTATTACACTTATATATGTTGTGCTCTTATGAATGCATGTAAATGTTTGCAGATGGGTACGTATATATATGTATGCATGTGTGTGTATATATATATATATACACACATATATAAAATATATGTCATTTATGAAATAAATGTTTTATATATAAAATAATACATAACCTTTCTTCAGCTTTCCATTTCTGCTGTTGTCAGAGTGTTGGCAAGAATTGTGCACTGCACTGGGACCAGTACTTCCTAATTTCTTTACTGAAAACCTACTGGATATTTCAAATGGTAGATGACTTTTTAATCGCTCTTTTCTGCTGCCTGAAACCCCATGTGGAACACAGAACATGCACTTAAAGCTAATAAGGTGCAAATGTGCAAATGAAGTGCAGGCACCGGAGGAGCTGTTTCATCACTGGGGCTCCCTTGGCCCCCAACAGGCCGATGCTGAGCCCCTAGTGAATCCACGCACCTGCCTAGGCTGTGATACTTTTCTTGGGTAAAAAAATGAAAATTTTCTCAGGACATAGCAGCTCCCCTCACACCCAGAGCCGCAGGGATGCCTGAAACTGCTGGAAATAGCAAACCCTGTGTGCCCTGTTTCCTCCTACACATACACACCGATGACAGTGTATACAATAGGCCCGGAAAGAAGTGACCAATGACGAGTAATAGAGATGCTGTGTAGCAACCACATGCTGCAGTAAAGGGGATGCGATGCATCTCTCAGGACCTCCTCATGCTGCCCTTGCCTGCCTGTGATGAGGGGAGGCGATGACGCGCCGGCGTGGCAGGGGAGGTGAGGGGGGCATGCAGCCACAGGTACTGCAGGGCTCCCACCGGCCTTCTGATGACACACCGGGAGGAGGAGCCTGTCCTCCGGGGGGCCCCGGAAACGGAGGTGAACGAGAGCCAACCCCTGGGGAGGGAGACTGTGACACATGCCTGTTGCCTTTTCGGCCTTTCTGATAATTTTTTGCTACAAATTTCTTTTGGTTTAGTTTGCTGTTTGGTTGAATATCACTTATGCAACTTTCTGCTCTGTGTCACTAATGCAGATTTCTGATGGCAAGTTTCTCTTCATTTCTCCAAATGAACTGTGCCTAATCTTTTGGTTCCATTCAGCAGTTGTCAGTTCAGGATGTTCGGTGGTAAACCGTGGACATCTTTTTGCTGCTTACAGGTTGTCACATTTTCTAATGAGATGACTTCTTACACAGAGTGGTGTGCTGTTGTTCACATCCATTCCACCTGAGGACGCCTCTGTGTGTCCCTGTGCCGGCTCCGGGTAGATGGACTCAGCCACATCCCCAAGGCTCACCCAGAAGCATGCCCGCTGCCCCATGCTCTCATCTTGCCCGAGAGCTGGTCCTCTACCTGCTTCCCTGCCCGATGGGGGCTTGCAAAGCACCATTACTGTTGTCGTTCCTTGTCTTAGGCTGGGTTTATCTGTTCCCAACCTCTGGCGGAGAACCCTGGAAGCATCAAGAGCTGTGGCCCCATCTAGATGGCTGTCCTGGTCACCACTGGACCTGAACAGAAGAGGAGCCCTTTCCTCCATCATGAGCGAGGCATGCTGTGCTTCATTCACTCACACGCCCGCTGATTCACTTGCCTTGCAGGGCCCTGTGGAACACAGGGTGTTCAGGCAGGCAAGGGTAGACGTGATTCTTACAGTGAGATGAAGTGTGTTGCCTTTTAAGAGCTTGTTGTAGGATGGGCATTGTAGAGATGCACTGCGCCGAGTTCGTTAATATAGGAACTAGCTGATGATACGCAAGTGCTAAAAAGCACTGTTTTTTAATTATTCAGGAACATTGATAGATCCCGTCCAAGAGCACAGAAACTCCTCTATTTCTGAATTGTTTGAACATTTTATTGTACGTTCTAATAAAAATCACCAAGTTTGCAGATGTTGGTGTTGGGAGGAAGTAGATTACATTTCTACTTAAAATCACACAAAGAAATGCAAGTCCACTGAAGAGTTCATAGAGATGAAATGCATTCTATATTTTATTTTATAATCCTAATAACTAATAATAACTCAAAAGTTTAACATACATATATTTCATCATTTTTTATGACATACTCCCCCCTGTGAGATGTTTTTTTTAAGTCCCCTCCTCTAATCTTTGTAATATCCCTTGTATTTTCTTTGTTCATGTGAGACACTGATTTAAAATATATACATATTTTCATGGAGCCTATAGCTAAACGCTTCGTGTCAGGTGGGCTTATGAGTTTGTTTACTCCGGATGTTGGTGACAGGATGGTGGCTTCCCAATGAAATGGGGAAGCTCATCTGGTAGCCAGACGAAGAAGCCCTGGGCAGGCCCACCGACCACGCCCTCAGGTGGCAGAGACAGTACACGGGAGCAAACATCTACACACTGAAAACACTGAGACAAAGCTACTTGATGTACTTAAACTCAGTCATCCTGAAGAAACATGTAAGAAGATACTGTAATAATTCTTAGAGGTCACCAAATTCTTCATTGCACCATCATTTTTTGAAATGACCATTAATTTGGAAAAATAATGTCCCCTTTTTTTTCTTTTAGCTAATAAGGTAGACATGCATCTCTGGAATTTCTTTTCCACTGGAAAGATCAGATTCTTTTCCTCAGAGGAGAGTGATGTGAGCATTTTACATATTAAACAGATAGGCAAGACTTCATAAATAAATGCTTACAATTAAAACAATCCAAATTAATCTGCACAAAAAGCTATCACAGTACCTTTGAATTCAATGGCGAACCCTGACAGCCCCACAGAGGCATCGCTCCGAAATGCCAGAAAGAGACTATTTCCACTACTCTCGATTCTTTCTGGGGCTTGAGCACCCTGGAAGCTTCCAATGAGAGGCCTGTTGGAATCCTCTCCCTCGTAAATGTGCAGGAAATCATAGCTGGGCTCCATGCTGAAGCTACAGGAAAGAACGGTAACCAGGTTATGCTACCAACATACATGTCTCTTAAATTCCAGGCCATAAAGTCTCTGAGAGCACACAGTGATATTCTTTGCTTTTGCATAATTCTAAACACTAGTATAATCCAAAAGTTAAGTGTAATAGTAAGATGTCAAAATAGCAATATAATAAATACCAATTACAGCAAATACTATTAGCGTTTTACATAACGCCCATTATACTCACTATAGGGTGATTTGAAGAGATCTGTAAGCAAATGAAGTCTAGTGTCATAGGTAGATTATCTCTTCCTTGTATGTATGAAATTGCTAAATAATGTGATTTGAAGAGCTGGGCTCCAAAGGACTGGATTCCTTTTTGACACTTTGACAGTTGATTTTGATGTGAATATTTTTAGTTATAAAAATATATATCCTTGGTCTTACTGACCATTCTTAAAATTTTAAATTATTATTTTTTTGTCGTCGTTTATAAGGTCCCAGGATCACCCCCACCTGAGCGCATGCAAATTGTGTGTAGCTTAGAAAAAGTCACAGGTGCACAATTTTTCTGTGTCACTGGATCATCGAATGATTCAGAAATCTAAGTCAAAAGAAAACTTGACATTTTCTGGTGTAACCTTCTTCCAGAGAGGTGTGTAAAGTGAAGTGGAGAAACTTCTTGTATGAAACTGCCTTTTCTATTAGCAAATGAATCACGCTTGGGGAGCCTAGATAATGAGTCCCTGCTGATGGAGTGGAAGGCAGGAAACTCCCAGTGGGGAGTCTCTGTGTCCCCCAAAAGGATCTGAATTGTTAATTTACCTTTAATCTGGTACCAGAGGTGTTTCCTGGTTTTGAGAAAGGTGCAATGAGAATTTAGCATTAACAAAATGCACAAAGATATCCAAAAATAGAGCCTGCCAAATGTTCCCTGGTTTTGTGTAATAGCTGAGTGGCATAATAAAGTACTCATCATTTGGTAAATTTATAGCAGCTTGAGTAAATTCAGGAAATGATGGCTTATCAAACTACTCAAAATTCAGAAACATAGAGGTTTAAAATGATACTGACTCAGATCTCATCAAGAGGAGAAAGTGAAAGAAGATAATCACAACAAGGCCTGGAATATTGATATAAACATGAGAAAAGGGAAGTTGTTCCATTGATAGTAAAGGAATACAGTTAGACCACTCTGCCCTGGAGAGTTAAGAGATCAATAGGACAGTACATAGAACTACTTACCTTTTAGAGTATCACTTCACTTAGTTCAAAAACTCAAAATGTAAAGTTGGAGGAAAGATCTTGGGATTTGAAAAAATGCAATACTCATATATCAGATATTAAGAATATGACAGCTCTACAGAATTTATGTTTACAAAATAACCATAGTATCTGAACTTTTATCATGTAGTTTGGCAGGAAGAAGTTAGCAATTTTTTAAAACACTAAGGTCTATGAATGCAGACTTTACAGCAAACAAATTTGGGGGGACTTTCTTGTCCAAAGGTCTATCAAGTCGACTATCTCACAAGAGAAACAGTGCTACCTCTGGGAATGTCACGCAAGATGGGCTGTGGAAATGAATCTAGCTATCACGGATTAGAGAAATATTAGACACTGGTGAGAAATTATACTGAGTATCTCTATCATTTTATTACTTTCTTGAATATTCTGTAAATTAAGCCTTTCACGTGGAACACATTGTGTGCAAGATTGTATTTGAAAGTCATTCTTGCTACGTCATGTGTATCCTAACAGAAGAAGAATGTTCTGATACAAAATAACATTATTTCCCTCAATGCCATTTCACAGCCCGATGTAGCACCTATTAGATGTAAGATCTAGGGCTTTGCTGGATGTGAAACTGGAGGCTTTATGAAGAGCTCAACGAAGTAACTTTTAGGTATGACGTCTAAAACTCTACCGAAAAGAGGGATTCAAGAAGAGGTGGCACCTTTTGAACATCAAGGCGATGACAAAGTCCGGGTTCACTTTTATCCGCCAGTCGCATTCCTTCCCCGGAGGGTACGGCTGGGGGTAGTTAGGGGACAAGATCACGCCCGACGGGCCAGTCAGGTTCCCTCCACACGCAGCTGTCACGGGAGAGGGAACAAAGCCGGTCAATGTCAATGAGAAGCGAGGTATCACACGCTCATCACAGAGACCGTGTACTGGCCTACTGAGTGATAACCCAGTGAGTGAATAGGGACCCAGGGGCATGCACATTATTCATGTGATAGTTACTGAGTTTTATGGAACAGCCCACCCTGCTTCTAGGGAGTTTTACACTGCTTACTTACAAATACAACTGACTTTTTATAATTTCAAGCTTTAAAGTGAACAGACTGCCTTAATCCCCCACACTTCTGAAATGCACACTACACGTATTCCAGAAAAACACTTGGATAGGAAAAACAAAAAATCCCCACGAACATCACTACCTTCTTCTGTCATTCCTACGGCTTGCAAGGCCAATGCTTGCGTACTCTAGAAAGCCTGCCTCAGGGCAGGATGGCTGCTGGCTTTTGCCCCAGTATCACTAACCCAAGCATGGTTTCTGAGCATTATGAGTACTCAGGATATATTTGTTGAATATATGAGTACGTGTTTCTCCATGTTTCCCACAGCCCTCTGGTATAGGCAGGGCTGGGGATATTTCCCCCACACCTAAACCGACACAAAGTTTAAGTGACATCTGGGGATATATAACCAGTAAAACTGAACTGAAAAATTAACACCTAAAAATATTACTTGATCTCAATGCTCAGCATGTTATTATCAGAAAGAAACACTTTGATGATAAAAAAGTTAGTATGTTTTATCAGTCATCAAGTTTTAATGACATGTTTACCTTTATATTAAGGGAAATGACTATGCAGTTCGACGTTAATAGGCAAGCCAGTTTTCATTCTTGAGACTGAAAATGTTAATGGCTGTTCCATTTGTTAGGTAAGATTTCTGTTCAATCACCCATCATGTTCAAGGGTTTAAAACATTGCAGAATTCACAAGGAAACATGTGTTTGATACGTTCACGGACAGGCTAGGTCTGAAGTTCTTACTGGCAAATAATGTGGTTCACTACCACCTTGTTTTAAAAAACTACCCCCATTAAATGATAGTACACCCTCTGAATTATATATCTTATTTCACATCAATGATCACATGTGTATTTAGGAAAAATAAATAGAGAAGGAAATACCCTAATTGGTGATATTTTCCACTTACAAAAAAATGACTTTCTTGTAAATAAAGTAAAGGTGCACGCTTTATAAGTTTTTGTGAAAGATAGGTCCTTAAATACCCATTTAACATTCCTGAAAATTAAATTCTCCTTAGGAAAAAAAAACAAGTTCCAGCTCCTTTTGTTATAATTTGTCTCGTCAATGCCAAACTCTGAATAAATATCACAAGGAATATTTATAATAAATTCTTTCAGATACACACTCAAGAATATGATACCATTTTTAGAAAATGGATATAAACCACATCCCCCTAGCATGAAGTTTTTTACTTAGCAAACCCTGTGGAAACCATGGTCTACGAGGGGCTACGGGCGGCTTTGCACAGGTTGGGGCGCGGGCCTGGGAGCAGAGGGCGCTGCCCCGCGCAGGACTGAAAGATGGAATGTGACGGGAGCTCAGAGGAGAGACTCCGGTACTGATCTGGAAGAAAGAGAGGGGTGCTCTCATCCCAGTGGCACAGATCTCACTGGGAGGGGTACCCTGGGAGGGGCTCAGGCCTGCAGAGGAGTGAAGCAGCGCTGTCCCGCTGTCCCGTGTCCCTCTTCTGTCGGGGTGCCTCCTTTTGGCTTCACTAGGTTTTAACTAGGGAGCTTACAAAATATTTTGAATAGGATTAGAATTTGGTATAAAATGTAACTCAGACACCCTAGAAATTATCCAGAGGGAATGGATAAAGAGATGCGACCCACCGATTCACATCAACCACAACCCCTTATTCAAAATCCTTAGCATGTATCTACACTAACGCCTTCATCCTCGGGGTGTGGCACAGCATTCTGATGAGACATGGCAGTGTTTCTCCATCACGACATTTCAGCATTCACACCACTAAAGGGGGTAAATAGTCTCAAAATAGCCACCCTGTACAGCAGGGCAAGAACTACCATAAATTAATTCATGCAAACTTACGATCCATTTTGGCCTTCCAGAGCTCTCTAGAATGTGGACGTGGAGGAGAGACAGTGCAACCACATGAGGAAGTGGAAGCTATGGACATTCTAAGGGACACTTTGCTTAGAACAGAGTGTGAGTGTCCTCTGCACTGGAGCATCAGCTGAAAATGCTAAAAAGTGGTCCCTCCATCATTACAGGGCTTTGGGGCAGTGAAAACAGTGAGGTGTCTGAGCAGACCTCAAGGAAAGTCAGCACAAATGACAAGCTGGTGAAAATATGAGTAATATGCAAACAGGAGACGTAAGCTTTCATAAAAGAGCAAATGGCAGAGAAAAAACATTAGCAAGAAAGAGAAGAACAAATTAGCAGGCCAGTCAGGAGCAAATCAAATGGCCAATAGGAGTAAGAAGTTAAAACCAGTTCAACCTCACTATTAATTTGAAATGCTGAATAAGACATTAAGGAATCTTCACAGTCTGCCCCCATTAAATTATGAGATTGAGAAATAACATACATAATGCTTTTCTGCATCAGAGAAAATAAACACACTTGGCTGTGATGGTGATGTGAATCGGAACAAACTTTCCTAAAGACTTTTGAAAAGTGTTTTAAAAAGCTCTAGAAATATGAAAGTTTGTAAAAATTCATCAAGTAGCCATGGATGTGTTTTTCTGCAAGGGCAGTGTTCATTTCAGCAATTTTTGTAGTCGGAAAAAAGTTGAAGCAACCTATTTGTACAGTAAGACAGGATTAGTGTAGTCAATATTAGCAGATCCAGAGATACTGCATAGCTATTAAAAATGAATTAGTAGCAAATACGTAACAGCATAAAAAGCTACTCATTGTGCACTGGTAAGTAAAAAGTGCAACTTACAGAATAATCAAACAGGATGTTTTCACTTAAAAACATTAAAAAAATAGGAACTATACATACATAAAATAATTATGAAGTGCACTTATGCATTTTTATATTAATAGCAATTGCCTCCAGGGAGAAAGATGATAGCTTCTTTTCTCTTTTTTTTACTATAGCTCATAAAGTCCTGCAATAAATATGTATTATTTTATTATATTATTTTTTTTAAATCAAGGTATTATTGATATACACTCTTATGAAGGTTTAACAAGAAAAACAATGTGGTTATTGCATTCACCTTTATTACTGAGCGCCCCCCCATATCCCATTGCAGTCACTGTCCATCAGTGTAGTAAGATGCCACAAGGTCTCTACTTGTCTTCTCTGAGCTACTCTCTTCCCTGTGACCCCACACACACCATGTGCACCAATCATGATACCCCACAATCCTCTTCGCCCTCCCCTTTGGTGACCACTAGTCCCTTTCTGGAGTCTGTGAGTCTGCTGCTGCTTTGTTCCTTCAGTTTTGCTTTGTTGTTATACTCCACAAATGAGGGAAATCATTTGGTATCTGTTTTTCTCTGCCTGGCTTATTTCACTGAGCATAATAATACCCTCTAGCTCCACCCATGTTGTTGCAAACAGTAGGATTTGTTTCTTTCTTATGGCTGAATAGCATTGCACTGTGTATATGTACCACCTCTTCTTTATCCATGCATCTACTGATGGACACTCAGGTTGCTTCCATATTGTGGCTATTGTAAATAGCTCTGTGATAAACACAGGGAGCGTATGTATTTTAGAATCTGAGAAGTTGTTTTCTTAGGACAAATTCCTAGAAGTGAAATTCCCGGGTCAAATGGTATTTCTTTTTTAAGTTTTTTAAGGAACCTCCATACTGCTTTCCACAATGGTTGAAGTAGTTTACATTCCCACCAGCAGTGTAGGAAGGTTCTCCTTTCTCCGCATCCTCCCAGCATTTGTTCTTCTTAGTCTTTTCTATGTTGGCCATTGTAACTGGTGTGAGACGATATCTCATTGTGATTTTCATTTGCATTTCCCTGATAATTAGCAATGTGGAACATCTTTTCATGTTCCTGTTGGCCATCTGAATTTCTTCTTTGGACAAGTGTCTGTTCAGATCCTCCACCCATTTGTTAATATAGTTATTTGCTTTTTGGTGTTGAGGCATGTGAGTTCTTTATATATTTTAGATGTTAACCCTTTGTCGGACATGTCATTTGTAAATACACTGCCCATACTGTAAGATGCCTTTTTGTTCTACTAATGGTGTCCTTTGCTATTCAGAAGCTTTTTTAGCATGGTGTAGTCCCATGTGTTAATTTTTACTTTTGTTTCCCTTGCCTGAGGAAACATGTTCACAAAAAAGTTGCACATGTTTATATTCGAAAGATTTTTGCCTATGTTTTCTTCTAAGAGTTTTATGGTTTCATGACTTACATTCAGGTCTTTGATCTATTTTGAATTTACTTTTGTGTATGGGGTTAGACAATGGTCTAGTTTCATTCTCTTTCATGTGGCTGTCCAGTTTTCCCAATATCAGTTGTTGAAGAGGCTGTCATTTCCCCATTGTATATCCATGGCTCCTTTATCATATATTAATTAACCATATTTTATATCTGGGTTTTCTCATCTGTTCCACTGGTCTGTAGGTCTGTTCTTGTGCCAGTACCAAATTGTCTTGATAACTGTGGCTTTGTAGTAGAGCTTCAAGTTGGGGAGCATAATCCCCCCCAGCTTTATTCTTCCTTCCTGCATTGCTTTGGCTATTTGGGGTCGTTTGTGGTTACATATGAATTTTAGAACTATTTGCTTTAGTTTGTTAAAGAATGCTGTCAGTATTTTTATAGGAATTGCACGGAATCTGTGGATTGCTTTAGGCAGGATAGCCATTTTGACGATACGAATTCTTCCTACCCACAAGCACAGGATGTGTTTCCATTTATCGGTACTTCTTCAGTTTCTCTCATGAGTGTCTTGTACTTTTTAGAGTATAGGTTTTTCACTTCCTTGGGTAGGTTTATTCCTGGGTATTTTATTCTTTTTGATGCAACTGTGAATGGAATTGTTTTCCTGAT